TTCACCCTAAGTACTTAAACAACCTCCCGAATCAACCACCACGTCAATTAGTAAAACAATAACAAAATTATTTGACTACACGATCTCAACATAGTCTGCCTCCATCGATCCGAAATATTAACTCGCAGTAGGATATTCCGACCGTTATATCAGCTATTGATAGCAAGTCGGCGAGTTCAGAGACATCTATCGGCAGGAAAACTATTGTGCGCCAACAATCGCGGGGACGTGTCGCGTCTGCCGCTTTGTGCATCACAGACTAATAGAATTTATGCGAATTGTTCAAACTTCTCTATAATTGCTTTATTTGCTTCGTAATATGAGGAACATAGAGGCGATATGGTTGGTTTTTGTGTACCCTTCGTGCCTGCTTGCATAAATCTTTAATACTTTTTTGAATTGAGAATAGTTAAATTATTTTGGTTTTACTGTGAAACTTAAAAACATATTAAACTTTTTCCTGTATAATTTTAATTGATAAGAAATATTGACATTTTAAATTAAATTTAATGAAAATTTAAAATATAAATAACATTAGACACAAAATTTTATGAACATTTCATATTTAAAATACGAATAAAATTCAATAAATGATTATTGCAAAATGATTGCAACTTACTTAGCTACTGTATATGTATCAAATGTGGAGTTCAATCCGTTCAATGGAAATATTTTTTTACGATTTTCTAAAATAAAGCTAACTTTTCCCCAAAAATGTCGGATCATATCTGATCAACGACATGAGAGACTCAGCTTAGGTAAACACAATTTGACTTCAATGCAATAAAAAACTTAAAAAGTAATCACACTAACTCATGATTTCAAGAAAAACCAAATATTCGTAGCTGTAAAGAATTTTCCAAGAAATTTTAATTTACAAAAAAAAGCATGAAGTCACCAAATAAAACCCCAAATGTTAAAAATTCAAAGAAAACTATCGATCTTGACAATTTAAACAAGAATTCTTAAGTATCTAATTGATTTTTAAGTACCTACCTATGTATGTAGGTATGTTGTTAATTAAGTCAAGGTAATTTATAAACACTATAGAAATAAAACACCAGTGTACAACACAAACACTCAGAAAAGGATTTAATCTAAAAACGAAATTCGTAACCAATGACAAAAACAATGAGCCAAAAAGCGTTCAAAACTTCACAAGCAAAAAATTTTACACTAGAGCAGTCGGGGACAAAGTGTTCGTTTAATAAGCTGTGATAATTAGAGCACTACAGTAAAATATTACCATTGAAACCCAGTTGACTGTACCTGCCTTTAAAACTAAACTAACCATTAAATTCGCCCCGACTCCGTCCAAATAAATGTCGCTATTTAATGTGGTCACTAACGAAGGGACTAAACCCTTCCTTCCATATTATTACATTTTAGAACCCAAGAGGTATTTTAATATCATTCGAATTTGCACTTTATTTTGTTCATGTTGAAGTTATATTTCTAATGGCATGAATGGTATTTATTTTTGATGGTTGATAATTGACATTAAGTAAGCTACGTTCATATAAAAAACTGTTTATATTCATTACGCGACTTATTATACTACACTACTACAGACCGGAAGACGTAACGTGGGTAGACCTCCTGCTAGTTGTAACGACGACCTCGTCAGCGTCCAGGCGAATCAAATTCTAATTCTAATTCTAATTCTTTATTTGCATGTTAAGGTGGGTACAAGGATCTTAAATTAAAATTACAGGCACAGCTTATCGGCCTTTTTCAGGCGTTGCAAAGAGGGACATTACTAGCTTACAAAATAATATTAAATTACTTAATTTACATCAAATTGCATAAAAGAGAAAAAAAAACAAAATCACAAAACAATCAAAAAAACAAAACAATCAATGGATTCGAGTGGCGACTTGACGTCTTTCGGCTGATGATGAGTAGGTAATACTGATAAAGATTTTTTTATTTTTGTAATCAAGCAAAACTTTGTACATAGATAATTTAAAAAACACAACATTTCGCCTAAACTGCATTTCCATAGACGGCTCTAATCGCTTACCGTAAAATGTTACATCTTTTCGTTCCTAATGTATTAAAAATAACTAAAAAAGTAGACATAAACCCACGTTTGGTGGTCGTAATTAGTGCTTTACCAGTATTCATTCAAAACATCTTTCGAATTGTAAATTCAATAGATTTCTGTAAACTGTATACAGAATGTGTTTTTGGTTAATTCAAGTAGGTACACAATTTATTGTGACCTCTACGCCGGCCTAGTTTTAACTCCCGAGTAGTATTAATTATCTCTGCTAGTTACTTCAGTAAAACACTTTATTAGAATACTAATGGACTCAGCTTACCATTTTACAGTTGTAAAGTTATGCAAAGAAGTGTTGTGCATATAAATTATGTTAAGGTGAGAATTTTATATTTACCCCTTCGAACTCAGTGCGGGAACGCCATGCTTCGGCACGTATGGGCCGGCTCGACTGGAGTGAAATCAGGGCCTCACGTAAAACCGGGGTGAAGCTACACTTTCGTTGGGTTCGAGGTTACCGAAGGCCCAACCTTCAAATCCCTAATAACCCACAAGAGGCCGGCCAAGAGAGGAGTTACGAGTGTCAATACGCGGCCCTCAATGCATACCATCCGGTAATCCGTCACATCGTTTGCCAACGCAACACATAAAAAAAGAAGAAAAAAAAACCTAGTCCTATGATCATAACACAATTACAACACCACAATAAAATAAGAACTCATTTAATTCAAAAATACATTCCAAATTCAAGTGAAATTCATGTTTTAAGGGCTGATCCTTCAATAGTTAGATAAATGTTATCGGAGGAATAAAACTGTTGCTGTTACTATCTTATACAAACATTCTGACATGACAGCATCATAATTATTCCCCAGATTACTTTTATCTACCATTGAAAAATCAGCCCTAAAACATGCATTTGACTTTGATTACATGTCGACGACAAAGACATCATTTTCCTTTTTGATTTTCAAAAAGGATTGAAGAATTCCTCGTTTCTCTTTAATTATGAAGTATAATCAAAAGAATTAACGACTGACATGAGTTTGCGAGCGTGAATTTTGAAAATAAGGGTCGAAAAGTAATCCGGGAACGCGTCACGGAACGCCCAATTCATTAGTGTTATTCCCCTTTTTTCATAATACGTCTTGTACATCTTTTCTTCGGAAAATAAAAAAGGTTTAATTAGAAAATTTGAGTTAATTTTAAATATTCATATGTGTGTTGGAATGATGCGAAATTAGAAGATATTTGAGAAGACCTGCAACCATATAAATAAAACATTGTAATGTTCCAAATTGTAGCTAACAGAATACAAACTTCACAGTGATCCGATGTTATTCAACAAACCGTGCCCAAAACAAAGTTATAAGCCTAACAAAAACGGATTTGAGCATCTATAATCTAATCCAATCTCAAAAGTTTTATACAGAGCAACTGAGCCAGTGCCTGCTTTATCATTCGAGGTGGAAAAATTATACTGGAGCGGAGCGTGCCGTACAGTCGGCCGGACGGATTTGCCCGTCCGCCCGTCTGTCTGTCTCAGTAATACCGACCTTAACTACTTATACAGCTTATTTGATATGGAAACTACCAGCTTTCTACTTTCTATTCTTCATATACGAGTATATACATTAGTGTGTACATCTACTTTTAATCATAACACTAAAAATCACGCAAAAAAACAGGTACATTAATTGGTATTCTACATAAATGCTGGAGGAAAAAAGCAATCACGGAAAATGAACGAACAGAACGCACGTAAAACAGATTGGTTACAAAAAAAAAGCCATTCAAGTACGTTTTCTATACAAACGTTAGATAGCAGCAATCTCTAGAGTTCCCTGGTCGTCTAAAGAGCTGAATATTAATCAGACGGAACCCAGTGCACCTACTGCAGTGCACAGTTTATTCTGACGCAGACGAGGGGGTATTATTCTTTCCCCTACCTCCCGAGATAATAAGCTTAGCCTTTGTTTTTAATACCAACCAGTTTAATAGGGTTGTTTGTATAAGAGAAAAACTTCTAACTAATGCTAAAAGCGAAATTAAGTCCCCTTTGACTAAGATGCAGGTCTGTGTAGGTATGACGCTCAAAGTTGTATTTGACATTAAAATACATATTAATATTATCCCGGTGTTAGTAATTTAAAATTCAATACTTTTATTGTAACGTTAAAACTATAATTTGTGTGAACCTCGCGACATAATATGATGTTGTACTTTTTACACCTACAATTAAGAATGAATGAATTTAACTAAAAAAACAACTTAAATAAAATAAAGAATGAATGAAAGTATGATTACATTTTAATTATTAATTGTTTTGAACAGTTAAAATAATTTATAATAAGCACTTGTAAGTGTATATTCTACTGTATGCGTTGGAGAGTAGCTATATTCTATAGTTTTCTTAATTTTTCGCGATTGATATGGAAGTTATTCGTGAAAGAAAGTTTGCGTTGCTTGCTTTAGGCGGATTTGCGATTTCATACCTATAATTACAAAATTAGTCTAGAATTCCTCACGATGTTTTCCTTCAAAGTGTGTCTGTGAAGTAAAGAAAAAAGAAAAGTACTTATATTACTTGGTAAAGGTGACACTGGGACTTTGCAAAAGTTTCGAAGCATGCAACTTTTACTCCGGGTCACCAGGACTACAAGCATATAGAAGAAGAAGAAGAAGATTAATTTAAGTTCTGAGGTGTAAATACCAATAAATCTAAAGTTAATTTCCTATCCTTAGAAAACTTAACTAACGAAAAAACCAAGCTTTATTTGCCACATACCTCATCCAACCAACCCACCAATAACGATAACAATTCTCAAGTTGCTCACGATTCTAACATTGTATCTACTAACAACGAACCAAGAGAACTTTTCACAATTTTTAAAGAATAACCCTGTTAGCGTGATCTATAGTTTCCACGTTATTGTAGAGCAATAGATTATAACAATTCTTTGAAGTTAGAGAGATTTATTTATTTTATTTGTTGCAGAATCGAAGCCGGAGCTCGTTTATTGGTTCTCGGAGCAAACTCTGCAGCCAGGGCCGAGTGTGTCCTTGAAATGTGTGGCGATGGGCCACCCTCCGCCGCAGTTCACGTGGCTACTCGATGGCTTCCCTATTCCTACTAACTCCAGGTAAATAGTACAATATGTTTTTTATATAAATTAAACTAAAAACTAATGCTATGTTTCTATTCTAATTGTTTTGTCGTGTGTTATTGCAACAATTAGACAAAATATTGCGTAATTTTATCATTAACAACTCAATGAACTTAAAAAGTCTATTCTAGTTTTTTCAAGTCACTATGGGACGCTTATTCATCTTAATCCGCAATGGACGACAACAGTTACTACGTCAAAAAATATTTCGCTTATTCAGTTGACGCACAGAATGACTGTTTGTATGATAAACCAATTTTTGTTCCGGGTGTTGGTGTGTCATAAAAGTGGCGTCGTGTTTTTCAACGCACTTACAAAATAAGATCATAGTTTCAAAAATCCCAAGAGCAAAAACATAACCGAAAAGTTAAAAGTACTGTACTGTTCACAACGTAAGCGTCTTTATATGAGTACAAATATATACTATTCGTTGAGAACGTGAATACAGTCAGGTCTTCGGTATAAATCGTTGATCACGTTTTCTTGTTGAGGTAGCCTATATGCTGAGCAGGCCAAAAAATTTTCCCTGCTCAACAAAATAGTATTGTTTCGAAATAGGAAGTTCCTAATACGAATCAACATTAAAAGTTTTTTTACTTCTAGATCGTTGGATACTCAAAATTAATTTCAAAACCTTTTAACATCTGTTTAAAAAGTCACAAATAAATGACAAAGGCATTATAGCAAAATTATTTTAAATTGAGTAACATTTTAATGCTGAACTCAAAGCTCATTAATTAGAAAGGGTAAATCTCAAAAAGTTTTCTTAGTTACTCGAGGAGCACGCGATCGTAGCACGGAGCGCTACGCCGTAGCTCCGTAGCTCGTAGCACGAAGAAAAGCGCATACCGGCGCCGCTTTTGTTAAGGCGAGGTGGGCCCAAATTTACGTTTTTTAAAACAATCTGAGACAAAAACTACAGTGTTTTAAATTACAAAAAAAATATATGTTTTAGTTGAGGATCTTATCTAGTCAAAATCGCATTCAGTTGAAAGACCTGATGAACTTCACTCGATAGAAAAAAATCGTAAAGTTACCCCTTTTTAAAACGTTTTTTCAATATTACGACTATATTACTGATTTTTTACGTTTAATTTTTGTACTATAATAAAGAAACTTATTAGTTACAGACAAATTCGCAGAGTTAAAATTGATAAAATGATTTTCTTAATTACTATGTCTCATTAAGTTTTAAAAGCGGTCGCGGCGGCTCAGACATGTCCGATTAGTCGCGTGCTGGCGCTTGTCGACGACGGACCTGTGTCAGTTTCTTCAGCGTCAACTACACGCACCAAATCATCTCTTTTTGAGAATTTATTGCTTTGCAGTTATAAATCATAATGGGTAATAACAAACGCAGGCGAAAAAAGTCGCGTAAAGTGATAAAAGACACAGAAAGAATGCACTCCAAAGATATGTAAAGAAGTACTAATTTACGTAAACATTTTATTTGTATTGCAATGTAATTTGTTCGCAAAATTAAATTTTATTTTATTTAGCGAACAAATTACATTGCATTGCAATTGGTAAATGCAAAATTTATGATTATTCTAGTATAGTTTATAAATATATAAGTACCTATGATCGCTAGAATTTTGCATAATTAAATTTAATTTATTTTGTCTTTTCGTTCGGTATCCTGCCTGTCGAATGCTAAGCCACTGCACAAAAATATCAGAACTACAAACTTCTGTAAAAAACTACGTAATCTGATTACAGACACAAAGTATGTTTAAGTGCATCGTAAAATGCTTAATAATGTCAAAATTTTGACTATGCGGAAATCGATAGTACAATGTATTAGACTTCACAAAACCTCTGAAGGTCCTCGCAATGTAGCAATATCAAATCTTCATACGGATATTATCATCTGTGTAGCTCATGCTTTTGGCGACCATAGAATGTGCCAAGAATATTATTGCAATAAAGATAGAAATGACAACGAAGAACTTAAAAAGACCCAGAATTCCACTTTCATTGTCTGAATAAACGCGATTGTTTCAAGTGTTGCTGCAAAATCACGCAGCTTAATCGAAGACGTTGACACAAACTTGTAGACTGTTTTAATAGTATCATCGTTAAATTCATTGGTGAAAAACGAATAATTTCATTAAAAGGAGGTTATCAAGGAAGGTGTTCAGCACCTGTTCTTTCGTTTAACAGCCAAACGGGGCTTTCAGCCGTCTAAACAGCTTTTTTAAACAAAAGTCCTAAAGGCAGGGCCAAAATCATTGAAAGACGGAGAGCTCAGAACGAAACCTAAACTTCGGGCATCCCGTAAAAAAAGTACGGAAATTAAAAGACGGCAATCAAAAGCAACATGACATTAGCGAGCACAGCACCAAATATGTCTCCACATGAACTGAAAAAAGCTGAAATAGAGTTCTTAAATAATTTAAGAATGCTTACTTCTTATAGCCAGGCTATCGAAAGGGCTACAATTTTGCAACGAGATAGCAGTGAATGGTTGGAAATACGGAAAAACCTAATCACCGAATCAAATTTGGGCAAATTTGTAAAAGAAAAATTAGCATATAGCATACTGCTCTTTTAGTAAAACACATATTAGGTATAAAAATTATATTTGACATGTGTAACTGCTGTTGCACACGGAAAAGAGCACGAAAGGCAAGCACGTCAACAGCTTGAAAACCAAGAAAATATAAGTATTTTGCCTTGCGGTTTGTTCATAGACAGGACTTATCCATTTATTAGAGCCACTCCTGACGGATTAGTAGGCGATGATACGCTCATTGAAATTAAGTGTCCTTTAACAGCTGTAAAAAAGGTCCTACCAATGCAGTACAGCATAACAAGCTAAAATTTTAAAATACGACAAAAAGACTTGCACGTCCACGGAATATTTTTGTTAAAAATTATTTATTTCACCATTTTAAGTGTTGTAGGCAGAGCCAGCAAGTATAATGGTTTTCGAATGAGAAGACGACTGCTACTTGAGACCGAAAATCACGAAGTAGTCCTGAGTTAGTCAGTGTTTAGTTAGTTTAGCGGTAAATCGTTGAGGGATTCCCTTGACTGTCAATGGTTTCCATCTATAGGTGCGAAGTTTGCATCGTTATAAATGAATTAAGTCCAAACACGATGTAGTTACTGTGAACCGTTCCCTGAGCTGCCCTTCGTTCTCATCATTAGACCCCTAATGACAGTCGGGATCAATCTTGGTGCAAAGTGCTCACCAATACGAATCATTCAAGCCCAAACACAAGGTAACTACTGCAAATAATAAAGCAGATCCCTCGACTGTCTTCCGGCTCCATCATCAGGTCGACTTCGACCATCGGCAAATTGTAGCTTTGTAAAAAGCCTACTAAAAAAACATGCAAAAACACTAGTCGTCCCTACAATTTTCGAAAGTTCCCTTTGGTTTCCCTAGGATTCCATCATCAGATCCTGACCTCATGAAAATGGGACCTTCTCGGGAGTATAACCTTTCAAACAAAACAAGAATTTTGGAAGTCGGTTCATAAATGGCGGAGTAATCGGTGAACATACAAAAAAAAAAAAAAAACAATCAGCCGAACATAGTACCTCCGCCTTTTTTTGAAGTCGGTTATAAAACGAGTTTTTAATTAATTAAATCTTTTATTTTTGAGTTGAAAGGATAACTCGGGTTTGTGAAGTGGGCGTCAGACAAGTTGACCTACTGCCTGCTTATCTGTGATGTGACACTCCCCGCGACGTTAGCGCACGGGTCGCTCTACGGTAAACGCGGGCAACTCTTGGTAGCGTTAAATACCTATTTCGCTTGGCCCACCCGCCCTTAACAGTAGATCATTGTTCTGAGATAGTTGACGCTAGTGTAGTCTTCAGAACTATATTATTAATTATGTCTAGTCTAGCCTATTCGAGCCATATGTATTATTTATCAGGAACTATTACTTTTTTCAAAAAAAAAAAATATCTCGTGCTTTGGTCAGAAATTATTTCGTGTAGTTTGTTAAGTTCAACGAATAAATCCATTCAAGATAATATTGTGATGAAGTAAATAAGCCTCTAAATTAATCAAACTTGTTAAAATAATCCGAGGTAACAATTTCAACCGTCGAATTCAATTTGTCTTTAAGAACTTTTGTCAACTTAAATTTCGATATTTATCAGAAGTAATGAAAAATATTATGTTTCTATAAAAGTATTAGAAACTGACAAAGTTTCAGCACTTCAGTATACACGTGCTGTTTACGCTGCTGTCATAAAAGTTTTTTACGTACTTTGATTGGATTTTCAGTAAAATGGGACGAGTTTATCTCTAAAACAAACTGTTTGATGTTAGCTATAAAACTAAGGGGACACAGTTTACGAAAACAAAAACTTTTTATATCTGCCATCTAGTAGAGCGATTCTAAACATTTGAGGACCATTTTAATAGCTTTTTACTTTCGATTCCTATATTTTACATACTGTATATCAAGACTATAGGTACTAGTAGTATTCTCATTCATGCTAATATCTGTAGTATTTTATTACTTATTGAAATCAAATATTTTAAGCAATAAACGCCATCTTAAACTGAGGAAGCTGACAAATATTCAACAATATCTTATCTCTAGATTCGTAGTTGGACAGCACGTGACACTACAGGACGACGTGGTCAGCCATTTAAACATCAGTCGCGTGACAGAACAAGATGGCGGCGAGTACGCTTGCGTCGCAGCCAACAGTGCCGGAAAGGCGCTCCACGCTGCCCGTGTCAACGTGTACGGTCTGCCGTACATACGAGAGATGCCCAAAGTGACAGCCGTGGCGGGCAGCGATCTGAATATAAAGTGCCCAGTCGCCGGGTACCCGATCGAGTCAATCACGTGGGAAAGAGGTAAGCTCTCCTCAACTTATTCACTGCTCGTTTACCGAACAACGGTGGGGTTATGAAACGATTTCCTGGAGCCCCGAGTGCAAGATTGTTAACTTAGTCGGAAAGTTTATGAACTTTTTTACTTGGCCTGGTGTAAGTTTGTACGTGCACCGCTTAACTTTGAAAACCTTTGCTCAGTTTTTTACTACAAATGTTTTTAGTTTGTTCCTTCCTTCCTTACGCTAATTATGTGAACAGGTGGTTTGTGTAGTATTCTTAAAGAGTATTTCTCTTACAGAAAAATATTTTTGCGACAGTTTTCCCGAAATAAATCAGTTCTAAGCAGTAACAAAACAAATTAGGCTATAACTTCTAATATATCGCAGGAAATCTTACCGAATAGACATTGATAGTAGCATTTAAGGTTATTCATGCTGAGTATAACATGCTTTGCGTGAACTCTTTGCCAAATGCTGCTGATTTACCGAGCTGGCAACACTCCCAGGCTCGTTGCGAAGACACCGCATTTTGATGATCAAGCGCTTTATTTAGTACACTGCTACTATTTCCTTATTTGATACGGTTATCTAAATGCTTTTTACGACGAAAACTTTCTCTTTGCTGTCTTCTATCGTTTATGTTTATTAGCAAAGCGATTTTTGCTTAGAAACCGTTTAAGTATTTTGGCGATTTAAGATAAAGAGCTCGTTTCTTAGTAGACTTATTTAAGTTAGATTATTTTGTGTTATACAAAAGATAGATCTTAAAACCAAACACCTCTCGATTTTCGTCCAGATTAACAAAGAAATCGAACGACAACAACTTCTTGTGGATAAAAAAGGTCCGCTGTTAAACACATAAAAGAGAAAATGTAAAAAGGTTCGAAGCTATTTGTTTGCGATTTAATAACATAGTAAAACAAATATCATTACATAATAAAACACAACATGTATATATATTTGTACATAAAATATACAACTTTATTGGTGTGTATAATCTGTGTTGCTTAAACAATACGCTCTTTGATATTTCGTAAAGAGATACTTATTGTTGATATAGAAACAAAATAATTAGTAAGTATCGTCTTGAAAACAAAGGAAAGATAATATTTCTCCTGGGAGCACTAACAATATACAATAAAAAGTACAAAAAAACATTGAAAATATAAAAAACGACTTAATTATTCTCCTATAGGGTTGTCAAGATCGTAAATATAATAATATTTAATATATTTTATTATACGTTTTTAAAAAAATTGGTTTTGATAATAAAAACTTCGTGCGTAATAGGGAGCAACGTTTGTTAAAAAATCAAAATGATATTTACAAAAATGTTTCCAATTTACACGACAGCCGTACGATTTACCTATTTCAAATGAGGGTTTTTTTTGTTGGCTGTGTCAAGGTCTGCACGTGGCAATAATGTGATCTACAAAGGGTGGCAGCCCTAGTCGCGCTAATGATACGAAATTGACATAATTTTCGCTGGTGCCTCACGTAGAGAAATTGAATTGTCGCCTCGGGACTTCAATGAAAATGATTTTATTTTCTCTTTACATTTTTTCTCGGTAAAATGTATTTATTTTAGGTAGGCTGGTACATTCATTCATTAAGTGTGTTATTTATTTATTATTGTTTGTATTGTTTAATGCAACATTGGTTAACTCTAAACGAAAATTAAGGCTTAATTAACTGAATAACTTAGATTATTTGGTCTTAAAGATAGCATAAATCACCACGCTAGATTAAGGCGGATTGGCGATTTCAAATTTATTAGTCCAGATTTCTTCAGGATGGTTTTGTTCACCGTTTGTCTGTTGTGTCTAAATAATCTTGGAAAGTATACATAACTTCGAGAAAGTCACTTTAGTACTTGCCAGGTTGCCTACTCGGGCCCACATGCATGAAACACGAGCACCTTTCTGGGCCACCATGATATTACCTTAGAAATTTTAGCTTAATAATAACTTTGTGTAACAGCATTGTTTCCACTAGCATGACAAAAATACTTACATACCAGTCTAGAGCATACATTTATTTAAAAACAAGTAAACATGATACAAGCGAGCATGCAGCATTTAAACGAGAATGCAAAATGGTTTTTTCTTTATAGAGAATACAAGTAAGCATAGTCAACAATCATAATTACACCATGACAATGATGGACACACACACTGGGCTAAATCACCTCTACATTAGTCTAAGCAAATTAATGAAATTTACTAGTATTTTAGCCTACAAAATAGAGGTAGGCAATAGATTAATCACATTTCTGACTTTGATAAGCAGATACAGATGTTATTTTGTTCTGGATGTGTCTCATTTAGCAACAAACACGCTCGCACATTCCAGCCTCCATATATCATTGTCAACATGTCTCCCGTGTGCACTGGTGTTTATGCTTCAAACATTATCTGTACACTTTCCGTTTCATAGAACAAATGCTCTAATGTTGAACATAATTACGCGTTGTGAACATCGCATATTTTCATATTCCAAATGATTAATATTACATACATAAATATAAATTATTACAGTTATCACTTACTATTTTAGTTCGATGTGTGTCCTAGTGGAAATTGTGATGAACTAACTTTTTTGACCGATACGATATTAAAACTTTCAAGAAAAGTGCATATTATTTTTTACAAGACCCTAGATGTCTATGAATGGCGGGCAAGGGTAGCTCGCCGCCCGACCAGAACCACACCAGAGCGTAAGGCGCGTGCCTCAAATAGACAAAAGTACGTTAAGGTACCGCGGCCTCGGAGTAGAGCAAGAGAAGGTACAGGGGGGTTTAGTCAGTAAGAGTCTGACACTTCCTCTCGCCTCAACCTGGGTGAGAGAAGCCATTTGATGACTTTCTCCTCACATAAAAGGCACTTGTAGCTGTTATGGTGTTACAAGTGTCAATGTCCGACTATGATCACTTATCATTATGTGATCGGTTTTCTTATTTCCCTCGTATTCCATAAAAAACAAAAACTAATGAAAGAGTAATTTCTAGTTTACAGACCTTTTGAATCCAGAATTGGTATGTTGCGACTAAAACTAAACAATTCAAAGTTCATATTCAACTTGGATTCAAAATAATCGTGACGTTATAACTAAACAGTAAAAAAACTCACATAAAAACCAAAACAAAAACAAACAAATCTAAAAAGCAAATAACAGATATAAAGAATAAAGAATGGACAGAACCTACGTTCGAATCGGAAAACATTATTTATCGACATGATCTTTGAACGAAAATAGGTTCTCAACATCTACTAAATAAAACAGAACATTTACGATGAAGCGAACGACACTTTAGTCAAACAGTATCGAATTAAAGCCCCTGAGAGACGGGCATCTACGCCTTTTAGCAACAGGTCCACGGAAACCCGGACGAAGGTAAAACGAAATAACTATAAAGATTAGATTATCTTCGTGAGTGCGGACTGCTACGTGAGGAGTTGCCGCTTCTAGATTCTTTAGTTCCTTGTTTTTAATAGAACGTTAATTTTAAAACGACGAATCGTGACTGATATATTGATTTGGTTCTGTTAATTTTCAAGATGTAACAATACAAGGCTTTCATCTTATTGTGTTGTATTAAATTTGCTCTTTCTTGGTGCTTTTCCAAAGATGTTTTATCACTAGGGATCGAGTTGAAATAAGGTAAATTGAAAAAAAATTACGTCTTGACGTCCCGACAGTTCAACACCTGGTAGTTATGTGACTTTTCCGTGTTTATATACTTTCTATGAACACTGAGACACCACATTTATACACACGGTGAAGGAAAACATCGTTAGAAAACCTGAACTAATAAATTTTTAAATTTAAAATCGCCCATCTACCTTGCGAAGTCGTGGTGATTCATTAATCACCACGACTTCGCAAGGTAGATGGGCGATTTTAAATTCAAACCTTCTCCGTATAAGAAGAGGCCTTTGCCCGCCAGGGGGCACTTATAGGCAGATGCTGTGATGATGTGCACTAAATAATAGAGCATACTCGTAATGTTGATCAAAGTAAAAAATAAAAACCTATTACCTAATTACTTAGTTCCCTTATTAATAAATTTGAATGGTTTGCCTAGATTTACTCAAATTCATTTATCGATTCTGAAAAGTACCTAGTTAACAAATCCCATAAATGAGAATGTAAACAATCGGGTTAATTCTCAAGCTCTTGTAAGTTTTTATATACTCAGAGATCAAAAATTCAAAATCGAACTTTCCTTAAAAAAAGAACTACAAAAAAATGAAACATTTTATTGTATAATTTTATGGGTCGGCTCGACCGGAGTGATACCCCTGATTCACAAAAAACCGGCGTGAAAAACCACAGCGTTGTGTTTCGCCGTGTGAGTGAGCCCAATCCTTCCCCTTCCCGGACCCTTCCCCAATCCCCAAATCTCCAAATCCCTAATCCCTAAACGGTCGGCAACGCAATCGTAACTCCTCCGTTGCGGGTGTCTATGGGCGGCGCTGATTGCTTACCATTAGGTAATCCGTCTGTAGGTTTGCCGATTGATTATATAAAAAAAAAAATTAATAAGCCACTTCGAATTATTTCCTTGCAAATATTTTCCTCGACGGCTTTCCTTATTCTTCGTGATAGCCGGTATCTAGTTAAAATTGTGAAAATATTGCCTTGTCCAATATATTTTTGTTGTTTATTTGCTAAAGTGTATAAAACGTCAGCTCGGAAATATGTTCGTTGTGTCGTCCTTGGTAATTTGCCCGTCGGAGAGAAAATTGCGTCCCACAATCTAATAGACTAGACACCTTCGCAACATCCAATTAAGGACAAAATCTAAGTTGTTCTTCTCTTGTTTTTCCTTAGATACAGCCTACAATTAGGTACGTCGATTTGTTTGGAAAGATAAGCAAATTGTAATTTAAAAAAAATAATTAATATTTGTCTCTTTTTTGTTTTTTGTTTTGTAAGATGTATACAGAAGAACTAAAACAAAGTTTAATTTTATGCAAGTATGAAGGAGCCATGCTTCAATATGTATGGGTAGGCTCGATCAAAATAATACCACAGCCTCGCAAAAAATCGCCGTGAAACAATCACAACGTTGTGTTTCGCCGTAGGAGTGAGGTTACCGGGGACCCATTTCTGCTCCTCTTATCCCCAATATTATCTGAAATTCCTAACAAACTCCAAAACGCTGGCAACGCATTTGCAACTTCTCTTCAGGTAATCCTCCGTTAAGGCCGTCCGCCAACCTATTCCTAACCTATAAAAGGGCATAGCTCTTTCATATCATTTATTTAACCTATTCATTTAGTGTCCTTTCGTCACGGACTTGATTTAAAAAAAAGATACTCCATTCTTATTTCCTTTAGCAGACAGGTTTAAAAACAAAAACATCGTCTTGCTAATTTGGGTGTTTTTTTTAATTTCCCCTCTGAACCAGGCTGGCTATTAAAAGCTTCGTTTCATTCTTCATAGCGCCCGAGTAAAATAATGTAAACGTTGTAGTCATTACAAAAATAAACTCGTAATTTAATCTCTTAATAGGAGGATTTGTTTCTGAAGGAATTCTGTACATTTTGTTGTTTCATTAAGATAATTTAATTCAACATTTCAAGTACATTATGTCTCACATAAGTATTCGCGTTTCATTTTTATATGTAGCAGTAATGTTACAGAACACTATTAGGTACAAACAAAGTTAAACTGGTTAAAAAATAACAACTCAAAATTACTTGACCTTAATCAAAAAAGGACTATATTTTTCAATAATAGCATTGTATACATCTACTAACAGGACTAGCACAATTTCTTTCAGTACCCACGTCTTGGAGGCTGTCAGTGAATTTTACTTAAATAAAAACGGGAAACATCGTGAACGCGCCCTCTCTGTATTCCTATTATTTCGGAAGATCGAATTAAGACTCTGGGTCACTCCCTCGTAATTTTCACTTTTTCGGACCCTTGTCAACAGTGGACCTTATCTTTTCATAGAGGCACTCTCATTAAGCTGACCTATGATCTCTGATACCTGCGCCGATAGGATGTGCTACGTGAATCGAATGATTAAACAGGATTAGGTATTTCATTCAAGCAAATATTTGCATTTGGGAAGAAACTATTCGGTAAATGAACTTCTTGCTTTGTTAAGACAGGTTATTTTGTTTTATACATTATTTGTAGGTTTGTGTTAATAAAAGTTTAGTAAGATTTTTTAGAACTTTTATAAATTGAACTTCGATTAATTTTGCTATCAGTAGGGTCCTTGTCAACACCCTATTGCTTAATGGTAGCACTACAAAATACGAGACCTTTTTAATCAATTACATGTATAAGTACCAAATTTCGATTATAGATTACTTTGTACATAGGCATGCAATTATAAAATTTCAAGCGAAAATATACTAACATTCCAATACCGCTACACATGTGTTTCCAAAAAAATTTAAGCGCGCCCACTAAACATTGACCTAGTTCGGAATTTCGATATTTAAATTTAAAATTGGACATATCCGAAGGCAGTGCACATTTCACCAAACTTCCATACACTAGGCGACTGTTGAAATTTTATTTGGTACTGTCGCCGGCGAACTTTCTACCGAGTTTTGGAGTTCGCTTAGTCAGATGTGGTTTTCCCGTCTCATTTTAAATTAGAAAATTTCTGCGTGCTCCGATTTTAGAATTATGCAACGGAATTCAGACCGAAAAGTATCGAGAAGACCGAGTTTTGAAGTGTTTAAAATTAACCGATTATTATTCCTGCAGCCTATTACAAATTGAAGGAACGGCCTCTAGTTATTATTAAGTACTTTTTATGTTTTGTTGTGTGAATAAGCATTATAAAGCCTAGGTGTTTTTGGGAAAAAAGACGTTTAAGACGAGATGATAAACATGAACTTTTACAGTGAAAAAAATAAAAATATTCTAGATGATTTATGTTAGGTTCTAATTTAAAATTTTGTTTAATGACTCTATTTGTCCAACAGATGGCCAAAATCTTCCTTTAAACAGAAGACAGAAGGTGTTTCCCAATGGCACTCTGATCGTGGAGCAGACACAGAGAGGAGAGGACGCCGGTACCTACACCTGCCAGGCCGCCAACAGACAACGACACGCTGCTAGGCGTGATGTCGAAGTACAAATATTAGGTAACTATTTTTTATGCAATTATTTAATTAAATTAATCTTCGGATTGCGTAGAATGATATCGTAACTGGAATGAATTTGATTTTTGAAATTGGTGAATTGAAATGATTTTTAATATTTTTTTATCGAGGTAATAATACTTACAAACAGGCAGGGAGCGTGTAGATAGTTTTAAGAACGACCAATTAATTTGTTCTAAATAAGCTTATTTGGTAAGCAATATAGACAGGTAGGTTAAAGAACACAAAATGGTTAGTATACAAGAGAGCAATACCACGGCGTATCAGAAAACCGGCGTAACAAAAACACAGAAAAACAAAAGATTTTTTTATAAAATAACATAATGAATTCCACACACTAGAATTTACAACACATGTAAAAGCGAATGCATTTATTTCACAACACTAGCGAACAGATGGCAAAAGTTTCATCCCAGTGGCACACAGATCTTGATATAAATGCAGATACGCTGTGATGTTGGCACGTATTACAGTCAGCCAGTCGAAGTGACGTCGAAGTGCAAATATTAAGTTAGAGATCCGTCGATACAGGCAACTTGGTACAAATAGGTGTCAACCGAGAAATGGCGTGCTAAGTGACTGGAAAAGCATTTTGTGTTATGTAATAAGGTGCGCGTGTGTCTTTAAGGTTCACTTTTGGAATGTAGATATTGTGTTCGCGACTGCACTGTCGGTATAGTGGTGGGCAATTGGCTGCCGCGCAACGATTGATTCCCACACAGAACAACTTTTTCTGTGATCCGCAGATTGTTGCGTATGTGAAATTGTATGTTTGTAAATGCACGAATCTGGAAAAAAAATAATGAGAACGTTTTTTTTAATACAATGTATTTTTTTCATAAATGCAATATTTTTGTAGACTCCCATTATCATGAAACCTTAATAATTTTAAGTTGACTGTGCGACATAACCGAGGCGCGCATAATGCTCATGAATTAGTGTCCCCGTTGCAACTTGAAACTTGTAGAGCTTTACTCACTTAATTCGCTTAAAATGTTATTTCTATGAAGAAATATGTCTTCGCATCTTTTCGTCCTCGGAAAGTGTTACGCTACTGTTTTAAGGCTTTTTTTTGTGAATCATCAAATTACTTCTCCCAGGGCTCTTCTGCCCAGGGCTGGGCGGGAGGGAGTGTCAGACTCTTACTGACTAAAACCCCCCTGTTCTTTCTTCCGGCTCGGACCTGGTTCTGGTCGGGCAGCGAGCTGCCCTTATTCGCCATCCGCAGACCCGCGCTTATGGTGGCCGGAGATCATCTCTCGATCCCCGACGCCCGGAGGATTGCTCCCTCACGCGGGCCGCCTCCCTCTTACTGTTTTAATGCTAAAATTCAAGTTGTTACATTAATAAAACATATTAAAAAAAGAGTCCTAAAATGTGCAATTACGTACAGTGGATGACAATGCCGAACTAAGCCAACGCTTAATTAGTGCTTATAGAAATCTTAGGAAATCCATTAAAATGGTCATTTTTTGATTTTGTGTGTAATGATGCAATCTACGCCCATGAACACCCACACCACGAAAGGAGTTACGAGTGACTTGCTGGCCTTTTGGAGATTAGGGTTTCGATTATTTAAGGATTTGGGGAGGACGCGGGGTGAGAAAGGATTGGGCCTCCGGTAACCTCACTCACAAGGCGAAACACAACGATGTGGTGTAAGGCTAGTGGTAGTCCGGTCGTGCCGACACATTCGTTCCGAAGCTTGGCTATGACACACTGATGATTGATTGATATGATAAGATGTTTTTATTGTAATTCTATAAGGACGAAACGACCAGAATCATGATCTAACTAAAATAAGTACTAAATCAAAGCATAAACTTTCTCATTTTCTTTGCTAAGATTTAATGCGCTATAAAATCACGAATTCAAGAGGGGTGGAGTTACTCATCCGTAATTCATTAAAGTTAGCACGTTTACCATTACCGCGGCATCCACGGGGCGTTAAACTTCCAGCTTTACCAGTTAATAGGGCAATAAAATAAAAATATTAAAAAAAAATGAATGGAAACGTCAACCCTCCGGAATGAGGTCCACGAAATCAAGCCATGAACGTGGCTTTAAGATTTTATTTTAATTAACAGTTAGGTGCCTACGTAAAAAGTTAATGGTGTAATGAAATGTGTCTACGTGGCCAAATTGCGCGTTGAAATTTTAACCCTAATAACTTTTGGTGAGTTATGTTCTGGAGTCGGCTCTTGTCTCATTCATTTAGGTTGTTACATGTGTGGACGGAAAGATGGCCGTTTTATTATTAACCTTTTTGTTAATTTCCATGCTCTAAAGTACCATAGTGAGACTTACAGACGTATCGAACATGAAAACAGATTTAAAAATCAATACAGACTAAGCAAAACTTACTTGTAACTTTACATAAACGTAAATTATCTTAATTTTACAGTACAGCCAAAAATTCTACCTATTCCGGCGTTGACAAATTTACTACGGGAAGGTATGAGAGCGGCCATATCCTGCCAGATCTTGGAAGGTGATCTACCCGTCGCATTCCGATGGGAGAAAAATGGCCAACCGGTGACGTCATCACCATACGCACCTAGTGGTATCATTACACGAAGAATGGACGAATACAGCGCGTCATTAGTGATAGAGCAAGTGACGTCACTGCACAGCGGAAATTACACGTGCATTGCTTCCAATGTTGCTGGATCAGAACGATACACTATACCTCTAACAGTCAATGGTAATCAAACTTCTTTTTATTGATTGTTTTATTTAAAACCGTTATGTGTTAATAACATTTATGTGTGCAGTCCCCCCTCGATGGCGGTTGGAACCTAACGATGTGGCAGTAGCTGCAGGTCAAGACGTAACATTACAGTGCCAAGCTGATGGCTACCCAAAGCCAACCATTACGTGGAAAAAAGCCGTAGGTGAGTCAATAAAAACAAAAATGTTCTATCATAGCAAAAGTAATACAATTTTCATTCAGTAAACGTTTTCCTAAACAATCTTCTCTGTAAGAAACGCAGACATAACAACTGGGTCAAATTTGAAACAGGTAACACTCCTGGTGAATACAAAGACTTCATGTTTGAAGGGAGCTCAAGGGTCCTGGAGAATGGCTCGCTAGTGTTCGAGCGAGTCGCCAAAGACAGCGAGGGACATTATCTTTGTGAAGCTAGAAACGACATAGGCGCCGGATTGAGCAAACTCATCTTCCTAAAAGTCAACGGTAAGTACCACTGAACCGACAAAATGTTCCACATAATTAATAATTATGTAATCCGCTATCTATATTTAATATTTAACTCGAAATCTCAAACGTTTAAACTTATTAAAGATCTCCATAGTGATAAATTGTGTGATCCAAAGAACCCGCTGATTGCAATCTTTTTAAATTCGGGCAGTCAATTTGCCGAAGGAAATAGAATTTTTACCGCGAGGATCATACCGCTAGCTATGCCTACAATATATAGAGAAAGGGAACATCTTTTTGTCGAAGGTCTGTGAAAAGTTGTGGAATGTCTTGATGGAGGAATCGTCGCAACGATGAGTTTCCCCGAGACAAGCCAGGCCGTACTCAAATGAAAATTCTTTTGCGTCATTATTGTTTTGTTGCGGAGAAATGGAGCTGTCCTTACTAAAATAAATGTTAAGAACGCACTGTCTCTTAACTGGAAATAATGGGTTTTGTACTGCTTTTGATAAAATTCGAAATGTTTTTAGCATCGTGGAAGTGTACATAATGGAAATGGAAAAACATGAAATGAAAATACATTGTTTGCACATGTGAATGCGGTAACTTATCTATTGACTTACCTATTAAATGAATGTGCAACTATTACATAAATGATGACAACTTGAGGAAGAAAATAAAACCATAAACCGTGTTATGGGCACTCTATACCTACCTATATATATGTACTTACCTTTGTCAATTTATTTGATTCAATAGAATTCCACGAGCGACCCGAGACGATAACTCGCTCAAATTGCCGGGCGTATTGAAGGGTGTACCCATTTATATCTATATCTAATTATTCCATAATACATAAAAATTAAAGGAAGTCACTTTTCCCACTTTGCTCAGACCTCGATGCTGCTGTCAGTACTTTCAAACTTAATTTAATTTAGATCGTTCTGAGGTTGGACCTACATTCCATTGTTAACTTTTATGAAAACTTTAAGTGGCAAAGTTACTTCTTCAATTAGCGCCGGTGTCAGTTCTGTATTGTAAGACAAGGCACAAGTTTAGACACGCTATTTACTTTGCACTGATTGTTTTATGTTACTTGCTGTGTTCTTGAAATAATATTGTTTGTACTCGACTATTTTAAGACTTTCTTAGAATTATGTATTGCACTGGAGTAGATCTGGTTATAGACGTGTGAGTGGGTATGGGGAAGAAATATTTGCTGTTAGCCATTGGACAAATTCAATGTAACCTATGGCAGCTAGTGTTCCTCCGGTAACTTATAATTAAAGTGAGCCTCTTATCCGCTGGACGGACACAATAAAGGCGAGACGATGTATTTCTAGTTTATTCGATTGTCGGCGGTCGGCAGCGCGAGTCGAGCGCGTCTGAGCAGAAAACTCAATGACCGTACGTCGCAATACGTCTCCTCTTTATTGGAAAACGAGACAGTTGCCTTCCACTAGAATAAGTCCGCGTGTACGTGTTTGTATTCACCGATATTGGCTTTTGTTGAGACGGAAATATCATGAAATATGGTTCGCCGTGAAGCCTACAAAGCCCTCGTTATTTATGACTGTTGAAATCAAACGTTGTCGAAGTAAAACAAAAGACGCAAACGAAGATTGTTATTTATGGAAACATTAACAAATCGTAGATTGTACAAACACCGGCGAAACTTTGTTCGATTGCGGCGGACGGGCGGCGGCCGGCTCCTAAACCCGTCACGTCCACGAACAGTTTGTAAACAGTTCCGCTTCTAGCCGTAATCGTATTTCCCGCTTGTTTATTTCGGTTTGACACAAGGTTCACCAGGATTTACACATGAACAAAGTTTACCGACGTTCACTTGAACCTAAATAAATAGATTTAAAGCGGTCTTCCGTCCGTGCTCCGATAAAAATAGCAGAATTTCGGCTACGCGTCCTAATGGGCCAGTAATTTTTAAAACAAACAATGATTCTTGAAAATATGAGGGTATTGTAAATAAGGTACTCGCCAATAAATAAAATTGGTATAATAGGAGCACGATGGATGTAACGAGGCTGCCTTTATGGAAATATTTTTTCCGCACACTCAAAGGGAATCCTGTAGAGTGGGGTTAGGCAATCTCTGTGCCCGGCCACGGCTCTTGATTTCTTGCCAATATGAAAAACGGTACAATACAGACGTTGAACAAAACGGTGAAATATTCCGATATAGTCAGAAAAAAAAATATAGTCCGTGATATTGAGAAATATTTTACGGACAGACACTTCATAACTAATATTCTAGATACGGAACCAGCGCTAAAGAACATAATCAAAAACCGTTTGCTCACAAAATGACTTATTGCTAGACTAGAGAATTCGTCCGCCATATTTTTTCTTAGTCTTACTTACTCAGACTTGGTACGATTGGGGTTTATTAAGTTAGTCGATTGTTATACCTGAACTGTGTTTCGAATTTACTGAGATGATTCGTGCGGATTGCTTCGTTATAACTTACTTCAAGAAATTTAATAGGTATTTGGTTTCCTGGCAAAAAATATTTTAACAACATTAGGACATCGAGTAAGGGACCGTGACCGTTAGACTAAAATAAATACTACTCCATAAAATAGGATTCAACAAAAAAAAACTATTATTTAAATAGTAAATTTTTTACAGGTTTACTGCTAGAGCCAATATTTTTCTTAAAACCTTAGTCAATTTCGAATAGACTTTTGAAAAATATTCATAGAACGTAGCAGAAAAATTGCCAAATGCGTTGGTGACTTATCCAATAATTCTCTTCTTCCTGATGGCAGCCCCAGCAAGGTTTCCAATGAAGAGTAAGACGGTACAGGTGACGGCTGGAGAAGCTGCTCACTTGCAATGCGCTGCTTCAGGAGACTCGCCTCTGGAGGTCAGCTGGCGAAGCCCCCACCATCACACCATTGCACATCATTTGGATCAAAGGTAAATTCACGTTAGAAATGTCATTCTGCTTCGCACTCTTAAGTACCATAGGACTTATTTTCCTTTACCCTCAATAAGTTCAGACAAATTACGTTCTGTATTCAGATTTATCGCATCCTTACGTTTTTATTGTATTAATCTGAATGCCACTTAGATGATCAATACTATGCTGTTACATTTGATAGGTAACACGCTTTGTTGACACTACATAGAAACCCTTTTGTAAAACGTAAGGATGCGATAAAATTGCATATGGTACCTATTTTGTCTACAATATGAGGCTTTTCGAAGGTACACTTTCACTTACCTCCACATGGCCGTCCAAGCAGATTATCAGAGAAGCAGTATTCATTCCATGAATAATGTGCACATGTATGAAATAAATGGTTTTTCGTCCTTTTTTTCTTTCTTTCACGTAATTTGCTTTTAATCGAACTAAAGTTGATCTTAGCAAAAACTTGTTATAAATTCAAATACTTATATTTCAGATACACTATAAGAGAACAAGTGCTGGACGACGGTTTGGTTTCCGAGCTGAGCATCTTGCAGACGTATCGACAGGATACGGGAGCATTGACCTGTCGAGCATCCAATGCCTATGGACAAGACGAAATGCTTATACACCTTGTTGTACAGGAGGTAACAAAACATGATATTACAGAAACTGGATGTGGTCTTTAAAATATTTTTCTTTTTATAATATTTTTCTTCTCAATTCAATTTAATACGCTTAGGATTTTTAAACGCTCACTAAAAAGCGTAATGTGTATAACAAGACATATATTTTTTATAATTTCCTAGGTTCCCGAAATGCCAAAAAACATAAGGATCATTGATCAACAGTCTCGTTCCATACAAATATCGTGGACTCAACCGTACGCTGGGAATAGTCCCATCATCAACTACATTGTGCAGTATAAGGAAGCACCAGGTTAGTTCCATATCCTTGATTTAAGCAAACAAAATTCTAAAAAACACTGATTCGCATCTGTCGCTAAGTTATGGACACATAACCAAACAATTTCACCAATTACCCAAAAAATAATCTTTCTAATACTCCAATAACTAATAGATGACCTGTTTCAACCCAAGTACTGCTGGATTGTATTAGCATCTTATTCGGCTCACTTTAAACTTTTCTAATATTGTATCAAAACGTTCCTCTTATCTCAACAGATTCCTGGCCAACGACTCCGCAAAAAGTGATAGTACCAGGTAGTGTAACCTCAGCAAGCGTGCAAAACCTTCAACCAGCGACGTCGTATCATCTGAGGATAATCGCAGAAAACAGACTGGGACAGAGCGAGCCGAGTCAGCTAATACAAGTCACCACAACTGAAGAGGGTAAGTCAATCAAGTTTTTAGACTGACAAAACTGGAAGAAAAATAGAAAAATCTTCTTCACCGTAGTCCTCTTGATCCACATCCATTAAAATAAAATGAAAATAAAAAGTCGTACCACGAAATTTCTGTGGAATTTCAGAAGTCGGGATTAGACTGTGTAAATGAACAATTCAACTTGCAACTATACTTGTCAATATTTCAACAATAGCCACTATCGAAATCTGTTTCTAAACTAAGCAACCACCGGACAGTCTTCATAATATAACTGTGCAAACAATTTAATCGAATTATTTCTATAGTTCCCAGCGGGCCACCTCTAGACGTCCGAGTAGAAGCGAAAAGTTCCACAGAGCTAATTGTCAGTTGGGAACCACCACAAAGAGACCTTTGGAATGGAAACATTCTTGGTTACTACGTTGGATTTCAAGAAGTAAGTTTTTAGTCCTAGATAATAAGTTCTCGTTTTGAGAACAAATTATGGAGGGTGGTACTAGCCACACTACATATATTTTTTTAATAGTAACTATCATGAGACATACTAAATTTATTGGAAAAAACGACTTACTCACGTGAATTGTTGTAAACAGCATAATAGTGTTGTAAATTAAGGTAAATCAGAAGTTTGACGGAAAGTTCCAAACTTCTCATTTCTTAATTGAGAAAAGCTCGACTAGTTTCAAGTCACAACGGGACCCTTATTCGAGAGCAGCTTGCACGTCGTAGCTGGCCGTCGACTATGAAACTGGTAGGGCTTTTCTTAGTTAATTCACCTAAGTCGTTGCATTCAATAATCAAGACTTTTTTAAGTCTAAAAAATGATACTGTAGTTCTGAAAACTTTATAGGGGTAACAAAAAAATATGCATTATACCAAACATTATTAAACCTTACCAGCTAAATAGTAACAGCACCGTTCTGAGTGCAAGTGGTCCCGGTGGAGCTTCGTACACGGTTCGTACGGTGGAAGGGGCTGGAACTGCTCGCGCAAGGACTACATTGTCAGGCCTGCAGAAACATGCTGCGTATGCTGTCGTCGTTCAAGCTTATAATAGCAGAGGAGCAGGCCCTGCGTCACCTCCAACGACTGCTACTACTATGGAGGATGGTGGGTAGTGAATGTCTCATTTTTTTTGGTTAGAGAACCAAATTAATCCTGTTAATCCTGAAAAAAAATTAACTCGAAAAAGGTCGCATATGAAGTCCGGGCCTTTTCAATTTCATATTAAATACATCTTTCATTTATCTTTCAGTTCCAAGTCTTCCACCAGGGGCGCTGCAATGTACAGCGTTGAGTTCTCAATCAGTCCGAGTTGCTTGGGAGCCTCCCCCTCTAAGAGGGCGAAATGGAGTGTTACAGGGATACAGGGTAACTTATGCACCGGTCACAGATTGGTATGGTAAGCATCATTGTTTCACTTTCATTTCTTTGTAATCCAGCACAACAAGCCATCTCAATCTGTTCAATAGATTTCAAAACGTATAATTTTGAAATTAAGTTGAAAATCTTTTCACAGTTTGGAGTAGCTTGATATGCTTTTGTATGTCTATGTACCATTCAAATTCATCCACCGCAGTTCAATTTCCCTTACTTCGGAATCCTGAAGTAACTTCCATTACAGGGAATGAAGAAGCGGTGACGAAGCAAATTTCGGGACTACATACGACGCTGTCTGGACTTAGAAGATACACGAACTATTCAGTCACGGTGTGCGCCTTTACGGCAGCCGGTGATGGAGTAAGAGCTGCGCCAGTATACTGCCATACGGAGGAAGATGGTAATGGAAATAAATAATTTATAAATATGTTGTGGGTTATGCAACGAGCAGACCGATTACCTGGTGGCAAGCAATCAACGCCGCCCTTAACACCAGAGAAGTTACGAGTTACCTTTTGGAGATTTGTGTTTCGGAAATTTATGGATTAGGGAGGAATGGGGCAATGGGAAGGATTGGGCCTCCGGTAACCTGACTCAAACGGAGAAACACAACGCTGTTGTTGTTTCGTGCCGGTTTGCTATGAGGCCTTGGTATCACGCCGGTCGAACCGACCCATTCGTGCCAAAGCCTGGCTTGGTTAAGAACAAGGAGTTAAGTTATTTTGTCTTCTTTAACTAACTCAAATCTGGCGGAACAAAAACAGCTTCATATTCTTCTATCAGTATAATAACATTAATATTGTTCTGGACAGTACCCTCGGCGCCTGCTGACATTAAAGCAGTCGTTTCATCACGTAACAAGATCTTAGTATCATGGCTGCCACCAGCTGCACCGAACGGTGTCCTCGTTGGTTACACCCTCTACATGAGCGTCATAGAAGATGGAAGAGAGGTATGTTTCATTGCTATCTAAATTGAAGTTAAAAGAGGATTCTCATTTGTTAAAAGTTTACATTCTTTTGGTGCGGGAATTAAACAGGTTAGCAAACAATATTTTAGGGTTAGTTAAGAAGTAAGAGGTCAATCAAACGCCTAACCATAGTCTTCGAAATTATCTGCAATTTTGCTATCAAAAACTTATCAAGATTTAAAACATTATTAACATAGAACATAATCTCATGGTGATAGACAAAATACAACAGTGCATCATACCACAACCCCTTTTGCTTCTTCCACATTCATTCATCTTTTCATGAACATGCGAACCGATTGCGAGTACCAAGCACCTGAACTTTTTTCAAGGACACCACCAATAAGGTTAGTGTGACCTAATGGGGCATTTAGTCGGTATAAAGTACGAATTCCTTTAGGTAATTGCCCTTAATCACCCCTTCACGTGACCAAAATAAATTAAGCACTACTATCTTTTATCTTTCTCTATCTTTCCACTATCTTACAAATTTTTCTATCTTCACTATTTTCTTCTGTCTCCAGTAACACTGCACAGACTTACTCATAGGTTTTAATTATGACCAAAGAATTATTTTCATAGGTATTCGTAGGTAATATCACTACTAGGTATAAATATCACTCTACAAACACAAAATAGACAGTGATATTTTTTCGCAATTAATCTTCCTCCTCAGCATGTAGTTAGGATCCTTGCATCCATTTTTTACATCTGCATCTGTACCCTGCATCAATCGAACTTCGAAGGTATCTAATCCACCACTCCGCACAATTTCGTCTTGCCTGAATTTTACTTCTATAATTATTATTTAATTGCATCATTTTACACAACCCCTCATTTCTTCTACATCACCAAGGTATTTTAGATAATATAGGAAATTAGTTGAAGTCATTCGATGTATTAAAATTTTTTCTTCCATATCTCTTTAGGAGGGAACTCACAAACGCATGCTGTCTCCAAGTACATTGTCCCATGAGACATCAAGATCACCGCCGCGAGCTACTCATCAGTTCTGGGTATCAGCTTCAACGAGGCTTGGGGAAGGAGAAGCTACTCGAGTTGTCACAGTGCTACCTTCTGAATCAGGTTAGTCTACAATCTTTCTTTACTCCTCATCAGATTAAGTATATGATATTCTTAAATTTTTATGATTTGGCCATCATTCAAAAACTAAATTTAAACGTCCTCAGACTGCAATTTTCAATTTTGCATTCGAGGAATAAAATTCTGACTGTGAAACAGTCTTTTCAACGCCATTTTAGGTCACTGGTGTGCATTTTCTTCTATTCAAAAAAAGCCCGTTTTTTGACAGTGCCAGCTCGGATCACATCTTTTAGCCGGAGTATCGTTACTCCTTGGAAAGAGAACATATCGCTGCCATGCAATAAAGTCGGAGTACCAGTTCCTTCCACTACGTGGAGTATGAATGGAGCTACATTGGAGTCGACGCTTAGAAAAAATGTCACCAGCGACGGTTCTTTGGTCATCAGGTAACTATTGCAGCCATATTAAGCTCTACGTGTTAACAAAGCCTTTCAAACAAAGTGTTTCAATTCCTGTAGCCTTAACTGCATTTTTATTATTCTTCTAAATTTCATAATCAGCTAGGTGTATTTATAGCCCAGCTCTTTTTATATCAGCTTGGTTTTTCACTGTATCCCTTTGCACCATTGACACAGCATGACGCAGTACTTGGACAGTGGAAACTACACGTGCTCGGTTGAGAACGTCCACGGTCGAGACGAGGTCACGTACAGCGTTGAAGTGAAGGTGCCTCCTCAGCCCCCCGTGCTGGCTGTTGTGGATTCCTATGCGGACTCTCTACATCTTCAGTGGAGCGACCAGGGTGATGGCGGCAGCCCTATACTAGGTAACTTTCTAGTGATCAAGTCAAACTGTTTTAATGAGTCCCTTCTTATTTAATATCGATTCAAATGTACCCATGGCACCGTAGCGAATTTTATAGTGGGATGTAAATAGGTTGAGGTTATTTCGGAGCTTACTTCTGCGTGCCAGAAAACTTCAAATGAATGAACAAGACCAAACGAATTCCATATAACGGTTTATGTATTTTGGCATGGTGTTCAAAAAATAACGGTAAATTTTCTAGGTTACGTCATAAACTACAAAAGAGAACATGGTGATTGGGAGGAGTTGCAAGTGGAAGCGGGGACGTCAGAACACGTGTTGCCAAACTTATGGTGCGGAACGAGATACCAATTGTACATCACTGCCTTTAACCGCATAGGCACTGGTCTACCGTGCGATATTGTGCACGCGTATACCAAGGGCACTGGTAAGTAATAAAGTTAATAATCATTTATTTAAAATTTTCTTATGTTTCTTATTAATGTAAGCCAGAACCAATCTGCTCTCTCTTTTCTTCTTTGTTATGTGATAGGACTGCAAACCAGCAGTGAAATTGCGTGATGATAAGCAATTTGGCGCCGCCCAATTTGTTGCCATCGAGAATTAGAGTTTCTGAGATTTAAAGACCCGTAACTTTGTTTTAAAAATGTAGAACTATTCTACAAAAACTAAAAGATAAGCCACGTCAATGTATTTATTTTTAATTTTTTCTAGTTCCAGTAAAGCCGAAGCACTCACAAATGATAACTCTAAACACTACCACGGTGACGGTCTGGCTCGATTCCTGGGGAGACGGTGGCTGTGGTATCCTCTATTTCGTCATTGAATACCGAGAAATCAGTCAATCGCAGGTACGTCGACCATTTTAAGAAGCAATTTGAAGTAGATTAATATTTTCTTATAGTTTTGTAATATCCCGAAGATCCCGCTCCTCATGCATGAGAGGTTCGAAACCTGGAAAGTACTAATGTGACTTTTACCGAGTCATATGTACTTTCTATGTTTATTAAATTAAGACACCACAGACATAACGGTGAAGGAAAACATCGTGCGGAACTGGAATTAAAGTTTAAAATCGCCAATCCGCCTTTATCAGGCGTGGTGACTAATGCTTAAACCTTCTCCGTGTGAGAAGAGACTTTTGTTCAGCAGTGGGCAACTTACAGGCTGAAAATGATGACGAATATTTTCTTCATATGATATAAAAAAGAACAATTAAATACATCCGATCAAATACTTTTCAGTGGCGTCTAGTCTCAAATAGTGTTCAAGCGACAGAGCGAGTGTTCAGCGTGCCTGGTCTGACACCAGCGACTCACTACCAGCTCCGTATCACCGCCCACAACAACGCGGGCCACGCTGTCGCCCTCTACAACTTCACCACACATTCACTTAGCGGTAGTAAGTATATTTACTTTACTTAATACTTTCGTTTACTTAGGTCTAACTTGAAAACTAAATTCGAAGTCTCACTTAAATGATTAAGATTTATACGTATCTCCAATAGTCTGAAAAGTTGTCTAAAGTAAATCTCACATCCTTAACGATAAAGCATTTGCACATTAGGGAATTGGACAGATTACTTTCGAGGGCAAAATACTCTGCTAGCGTAGCCCACATGCTGACCCCAATGGCGTTCAACGTCTTAAAAGCCAAAGGAAACGACAAGTTGGTCAAAATACCTACAAATTAAATGATAACACAACCAATAAAGCACATAAACAGTGATGGCTATAACTAATTTCAAAAACGGGCTACTACGCAAAAGGTAACCGTATATGGATGATAAAGATATCGTGTATTAATTATAGTGAGATAATCTCAACCTTTAATTATTCGCTATGACAACAACACTACTCAGGAAGACGCACAGATCATTAGAGTAGTTGTAGGCAAATGTGTTTGAAGTAGTCCAGAAGTAGTTGTGGTGCCCGCAGTGGTGGAGGGCGAGGTGTCTGGCGCGGCGGCGGGCGGGGGGCGCGGGCTGGGCGGCGCGCGCGTGCTTCTGCCCGCCGCGCTGTCGCTGCTCGTGCTGGGCGCGCTGCTCGCCATCGTGCTGCTCGTGCGCAGGAACAGTCAGTACACTACCTTTGGTATATACATGCGCTACTCCTAACTCTCTTTTCGTACTCATAAGGCACCCACTGATTATAGACTTCTTTACATGTATTTCGATTCATTGACATTTACTGTAAAACGGGGTGAATAGATTGATTTTATAAATTTTTCTAGTATCTTTTCACCCCTTTTCTGCGTCTATTCACCATGTTTCACCGTTATTCATTTTTAGTCAATTTGAAATCAACATTGAACTAAAAGTCGTCGGATAAACCATTGAAAAGACACAATCTCCCCCGACACAAAATTGGTTACAATCAATGATTTGAATGAGATTGTTTTATTAAACCTTCTTTTTATTGTCCTATCTGCTTCAACAGTGTTTGGTGTGCATTGCCATAGTTATATATTTATAGTTACCGAGCCACTATTAAGGATTCATTGATGCATCAAGGATGGATACTTTTCACAACGAATGTTGACTGCAGAAGCTGGTACAACGGAGACGGTGGCCACAGAGAGTGGGGTGGGCGAATCTCCATCGGTAGCGCAGCTGCAGAATAAAGTGAACCGCGACCAGCAGTACCTGGCCGCGAGGGCACAGCATCCACCTCCCCAACATCATTACAAACACGCTTCTAATGGTAAACCACGATTCCTTTGGTGATATTATTGTCATCTCAGTTTTGGAGTTTATACAATTTTAACCATTTATAAAATCACCATTTTGAATAAGCTTGTAAGTACTAGAATAATCACATTAAACTTTTTCAAAGACCATTTGAACATCATTCGATCTTATTGATCTTCATTCTTATTAGCCTTGTAAAAAAAACTCGTATGAAAGCACGCTACAAACTAACCTTATTAAAAAGACATATTAACTCCTTTTAACCCCCGACGCAAAAACAAAAAGAATCTGGGAGAGGGTAACCGAAGGTCTGCAAATATACTCGAGTGGGGTCTCAAATGAAAGCGGACTGTGAATCGAGAGAAAATGATATAAAATACCTACAAATAGTAAAATAAAAAATAAAGAAATATTAGATATTAGTCGGGGTTTTTTTAAATTTTAAATTTATTTCAACAAAGATATTCTTTCATCAGCTTCAGAAAAACTTTTAACAAAACTCTCCCTTCTTTTCCGATTCCCACAGAGTACATAGAAGACATATGTCCGTACGCGACGTTCCAGCTGACCAAGCCGACGGCTTACAGCGAGAGCAGCTACAGCGGCAATGTCTACAGTGGGCCCTACCACTCCGTGAGAGGATCCTTCGTGTACCACGATCTAAAGCAAAATGACAAATATAAGGTACTGTTTTCTTTTAAACGACTTTTGGAGATCTAGTTTCCCGTTTTTTATCGATGAGTCAGAGAGTCCATCGTTTTTCAAATCACTGAACTTACTTTTGACAAAAATTGCCAGATACTAAAACTTTTGTGAATAGTAAACTACAGCTTCCACTCATTTTTAAAACCTTTGGAATGACGATTACTTGTTAAATATTAATTAAAAAATTGAATTAAACAGGGCAAGGAGCCAGAGTACACAAAAGTACGAAGAAAAGGCAACAGGCTGCGAGACCCGCACTCCGAGAGTCAAGGTACGAACCGCCCTTAAATAAATTCCGTACAACAGCTTACAAAGTATCTATGACGTAGTTAGATACATATAATTTTGTTTTATGTAGATTGCACCTTCTATTAATTAAGTTTACTTTGTCCCATTTAAGTTTAAGTAATTGAATTGTAATTTGACATAATGATCGCCTTTTATGCAACCTTTGGGAGCGTAAATGGTGTTGTAATTTATAAAGGTAAGCATGCACAAAGTATGTATTGTTACATACCTTACGTTTGTATGTGTGTAGTTCACTCATTGTCATGATCTAGTGTGAACGTTCCCGCTTATAAGTGTTGGCGTCCTGTCCTTAGTGTCGTGCGCTCTTCCATTCTGGTCATATCAACCATGGTTTTCATTTATTTAACTGTCACGTGCTTTGCTGTGGACCACGCCACGAAAGAGATAAGTGATCTTAATTTAAAAAAAACGGTACCTACGAAACACTCTTGGAAAACATTTCGCAGTGCCGATTCGTGGCGTGTTCACGGCTACCGATTCCATTCTGCTAAGTGCTGACAATTTTTGTTAATATTGCAGAGTCGGACAACTTGGGCTCGACGGACTCGGAGGTGAAGAAGATATTAACGCTGCACCTGCCCATTACAGAGTATGAAGACGATGCAAGTGACGACGCGAGCGCGCCGCACTCCGACAGTGAGCCGCAGGCCAGGCTCAGACCTGCGCACCCCACCTCATGTTAGTTTTAGTCACAGAACCTTGTTAATTTCAGGAACTCTTCGCACAGTACTTCACTGATGTAAAATCTTGCGCAGACAGATTCTTCCATGGTGCTTTTCTCTTCCATGTCATCTTAAGTTCATACCATATAATCAATTATCATAGAGAGACATCTAAAGTTACTTCAATCCTAAGATAGGTCTTTAATATCCATTCACATTGAACCTTTAAGTGCACATAAATACACTTAATGCTCATATAAAATCCAGAGAACTCTTTTTGTTTAAAAAAACGTTGCCCCACGCTAGTATTTTCTCCTGTGTCGTGGGTGCGTTTACAAACATACAAATACACATCACACCCAGACCCGGAACAACAATTGTTACTGGTACTAATTTGACAAATCCTATATCTTCCAGATCCAAGCGTAGAGCGCGAAGAATCGTCGTCATCATCAGAGAATTCAGTGGGAGGAGTAGTAAGGAAAGCGTTTCCTTCTCGTAAGGGCAAAGCGGGGGCGTTAGGCAAGCGACATGTGCGCTCGTCTTCAGGCTACAGCAGCCATAATGACGAGACCACCTTCAGGTACCTGTAGACACTGTGAGCAGTAGAAGACTTGTTTACTTACTTTTATTTTTAATTAATTGAGGAAGGTGCATAAAGTCTCAGGCCAAAAAGGCACGTATCTAAGTTGTGATTGTTCGATCCTGTCTTTGATCTTTGTGCTCCTTTCTCTGTGATTCTTAAAATAATATTTCCCTTTAGAGTAAAAAGTTAAGAGTGTTTTGTCATTAATAACTGTAATTTTAAATGTTGAGATTGGTCCTTTAAATAAGTAAATTTAAATATTTCCAAATAAATAATCAGCTCCAATTAATATTCCACAATTTATGGAATAAATGTACTTAGTGTGTTAGGAGTAATAACTATTTTTGTTCACAGTATATCAAACTACCCATCTTTCAACGAGCATATCCACCCTCCGTCTCGTTTTTCGGACGACACCGAGTGCGAGGGACATCACCGTCGTAAGAGGGCGCCACATCCACATCCCTCACACCCTCAGCACACCCCACACGACCCAAAAGTCACTCGGGAAGCCTTCCAAATCAATGTGTGAAGCTAGCCGCAATTTAAAAGGATTTAACGGCATTATTAAAGATGGCGTCTTGTGGACAGCCAATCAGAACAAAGTATATTTGACATTTCTCAAGTGTCAAACTCGGCTGACCAATAACGTTCTTTGTAGAGGCGCCAATAATGACAGCCACGTATTAAAAAAGACTAAAATAAATGATTTTGATATTCTCAGAATTATGATCTTGTATCTATGTAGATACTTATTGAAGAGTATATTATTTAGATTTTGTTACTCTGTAAGAGTAGGTAATAAGGCATGGTCAATCTGATTTCATTTTTTCAACAATAATGCACTGCTGATCTGTATTTGGAGTTCTAACGAGGATAGGTACATACTATTTATTCAACACTGCCATAAACGTGTTTTGAGTTTAGACGAATTTATAAACGAACAAAGTTACGCAGTTATATTGTTACTATTTCCTTGTTCACGAGTTTTCTACTTTGTAAGGAAATCGACGCATAGATCTTCCATTTAATAATGTTGCTACTGTATATTGGTTGGTACATTTTTACTACAAGTTGCCAAACTCCACAGAACTTCCATGATAACTAGACATGTACATAAAGTGTAGATAGATAGAGATAGCCAATATAATTATATATGTATTCTTTAGTGCCACGTATATAATAGTGACTCATTAATCCTTTTTGTACTCTGAAACCGAGTATTTTAAAATGTAACGGTTTCGAATACCGTTAAAGTTGTAGGTTCTAAAACCGCTGGTCGTTGTGTAAATAATAATATAATTAATGCTAAGTACACTAATGACTATCGAATATAAAAAATAAGGAGAACAATAATTAAAATAAAAATATATATTTTAAACTTAATGCCTTATTGACCAAAAGTCTTAAAACTAGTTACGGATGTAATTGCGTAATTATATCCCATATTTAATTAAATTGTTTGATTGTTGTAAAGTTTATGGGAACGGGAATGTTTTCATTGGCAAATCTTATCATTGTCTATTTTACATTAAGGTTTGGAGTGTGTAAATGAATTTTCAAGTAAATATTTATATCTTAGGATTATGATAAGTATTTGTTGAAGTGCCAACGACGAACCGCATTCAGTTAGCGTGCGACGAGATTCTTGTAAAACGTATACAGTGCACCGTTTACACAAAAACTTTATTCAGACATTTGTACGAGTTATTTCAATATTAAATTTTACCGAACTAAACTTATATTATCCTCCCAGACTGCTTCGATAACATTTTATTTATATCCTGTTCATGTACTCAAAAATATTCGCTTCTTGTCGAAAATGATAACCTACCTATTGTATTATAATATTCGGCGGATTGTTTTAAACGCGCATAACCACTGAGAAACTTAAGAACTTATATAACCATTGTACTAAATCTAAATGGTCTTTAAATCTAAATGGTACTTTTGGTATCTAAATACATCATATTCTTTAAGTTTTTAACAGTTGTTGTAATATGAGCGTTCAAAACAACCCTTATAAATAAATTCACGCATAATAATCGTTGTAAAATAATGATAGAATATCGCAATCCTCAGTGAACAGTAAAACGTGACAATACACTTACCTAAATAAACGGCAGACATTTACAATTTGTATGTACATTACTGTAATATGTAGGAATAGTTTACGAGTGTTGACACACAAACTCAATTTTATTTCCATCGAGATTATTTCAATTGAATTTATAACAATAATAATTTACAATATTATATTATCTTTTTACGTTGACAATCTTTAGTAATTCCAACGAAGACTGCCCTATATTTAATTGAGATCTATTTTATATAATCTAGACACATTACCTAATACTAGTCAATACGATGTAGGTTTTGTTAGTGATCGTCAAGTTATTGTTTTAACGCGGTAATGTTTCAATCATTGATTGCATTCGCATCAACGTTTTCAATTTCAAATATTTGGGTATGGTAAAAATTTTAATAAACGTCAGTCAAGATGAAAAATTGTATTATGAATCTTATTCCCTTTATATGAGAGGTCACTTTTGGTCAAATATTCAAGGTTAGAAAAGCGAAAATCCCTTCGAATTCCACATTTTGTTAGCGTTATGTTAGATCAAGTTTAGGAGCAAAAATTCGTTATATAAAACATTACTCTTAAATCATTCAGAATACTAGTCAATGTACCATATCATTTTTATGACATTTTGTTACTAAATAATACACAAGTATATAAGTAAGGGTTAGTTAATCATGTTGTTACAAGATATGTTTTTATAATGCAAACAAATGAGTTACTAGAACAGTATGATGTGAACGAAAATAAAAATTCATTTACTTGAAATCTGTATTTTATTTACGTACTGCAAACATGCGAAAATCAATCGTAATTACACTTATATTGAGATAAAAATAGTTTTTTAAAATGTTGGCATACCTAAACGTGTGAATTAAGACTCTAAGACCAGTTTTAGATCTACCATTTAGACCTCCTTTATAAGGAAGACAAAAAATATATATTATGTATAAAAGACATTAAATAAAAAAGATTGACAATGACATGTTACAATACAATACAAATGAAATGTACACAATTGTACTAAAATCAATGCAATATACACAAAATACTTAAAAATAACGTTACCTACATACTTTCACAGTTTTTTACAGTTTCCAACCAGTCAAAATTAATTATTTCCTATAAATCATGTACGAGATAAAGTATTATAACCATAAAGTACATTGCATCAAATAGCATGCTGTGCTATCGTAGTGGCCTGAAGGTTAAGGCACTTCGAAGCCTGACAAGTACCAAACCAGCCTACCAAAGCGACTTTTTCGGAGTTACATATACTTTCTAAATTGATTAAAACACCACTGATATATAATGAAAGAAAATATTGTAAGGAAACCTGCACTTATAATTTTTAATATTAAGTTTGAAATTGCCAAACCGCCTTGAGTAAGCATGGCAATTAATGCCATTAAAGAGAGGCCTTTACTCAACACTTATAGGCTGATGATGATGATGAACATAATTATTTCTTTAAAAAAATGTAGTAAAGGATGTATATATCGTTTAAACAATTATTTAAATTGAGGATATTTTTTTTTGTTGAGAAATGTGTTTTTGTTTTTAACTGAGGAAACTACCCTGACATATTATGGTCTAACTAATTATAATCTAACTAATCGCTGTCGCTATCAGCATCAGCGGTGAAGTCAAAGGGTCGGAACTTATCTCTGAAATCCTTCACGTATTCTATTTCCTCCTCTTTGGAGATCAAACACTGTCGCCAGTCAGCCTTGTCTTCGCAATTCAGGATTTGTGGGGTTGATAATACGTCCCTGAAAAATAAATAAAATATTTATTTAAGTGGGAATAAATTAATAATGTATTGGTGAAAAACAATGCAACATACATATATAAAGGGTTTCAAGGGTAACGAGGGAGTGTCAAGCTCCTTCTTCTCCATTCGAATCTACACTTTGAGTGAGTGCTAACTTCATTAACGAACAGACTAACGAACTATTATTCTATTTTGACGTTTTAATAGTACCTGTATTGTATATGGTTAAGTGACAATAAGTTATTTTTTTTACATTTTTTAATAGGTCTTTAGCGATTGCAGACTCCATGACATTACTGAAAACCTTTATAATACCTTGCCTGACCGTTAAGATGATAGAAACATGCTCCAAAAATATCGAATATGAATTCGGCTAAAATAACTATCGTATGAAACTCATTACTAATGAGTTTCTTTTTCTCTTTCATTTCCTCAAATTAACAGCTTTTCTCTCACCTTCCGAAATGTATAGGGAAGTTCTGCTTCGGCTTGGCGAATATCTGGTCTCCGTTGGGCAGCTCGGCGTGGAAGTATGGCGCGCCTGGCAACATCATCTGCCGTATGTCAGTGTATGGCGGGAGCACTTCTAGCGGGATCTTGTTTATACCTGCCTCGTCCTGGAAATAAAGAAGGTTTTACTAACAGAGAAGACATCACTGTCACTTTAAAGCAATTTCCCCCTTAAACAGCTAGACCCGGCAAACTTTGTTCTGTCTCCATATTAAGTTCTGTATCTGATCTTCTCTGGACTTCCACGAATAATTCAAGACAAAAATTACTCAAATCGGTAAAGGCTTTGTTGAGTTATAACATGACAATGAAAAGTGGTACTTATTGATTTTATATATATATAGATAGAAGATAATATTAAGATAATGCAATAGCCTATTCTGAAACCTCTCGGCTAACGAAGCAATCTTTAGATCATACCATAGGAAGATACCAAAATATGCATGTACCTGGAATATTTCCAGTATCTGCGACTCACAGATCTTGGGCACCGGTACAGACTGTATCTGCATGTGTGAGGTACGGTAGTTGCGCTCGAAGAACACAACCAGCATGCCCATTGAAGCGTAAAACTGCTTCAGCACCGCCTTGAATTTCTTTATCTCTTCTGAAATTTCGTCTGGTACCTGGAAGTAGTGAACAACGCCGTTTAATTAGATACAAATGTAGACTCATTCATCATTATCATTATCCCTTGACACACTTCCTACCTAATAGGGTGGTCACAGAATGGAATAAACTCCCAGAAAATGTGATAAAAGCACCCACAGTTAATTCTTCTAAAAACAGACTCGACAAAATCTCCAAATCCATTAATACGCACGCATCAGCTTTTTAAGCTGCTAGTGTGTTCTGTTCAAGTATAATAATAATAATTATCAGCCAGAAGTCCACTGCTGGACAGAGGCCTCCCCCTTAGCTCTCCACGGCGAACGACAACTCGCCACCTGCATCCATTGGCTCCCCGCGACTCTGACGATGTCGGTCCACCCAGCAGGAGACCTGCCCACACTACGTTTTCCGGAGTAGACTCATTAACAGAGATAATTTGTATGCTTTTTTTCAAGATCACATAAAAGGGGTCATTTTCCTTCAATAAAACATTGTTACAATATTTTACAAATGAATTGTTCTATAACTTTTAATTATAAATCTGACGGTGAAGCCATTTAAACTGGCCGCACACGCCCGATTTCTGAATTAAGGATTCTTCTTCTTATTATTATTATTAATAAAGTACGCTGCGAATAAAACGTTAGATTCCTTTTTACTCAGAAAAATAAGAAATATGTACAGTTGTCGTCGTTGAACATTTAGCATGTAAGCTGTGCATTCAGGTTTTAGAAACAGAATTCCTGAAATGAAAACTTAAAGTTTGGTGCCGGTCAAAAGCTGAACAGGTAGAGAAAAAAGAGACAGATATATAGCCATGAGAACATGGCATTCCTTTTGGCGTTCAGATAAAAAGTAGTATAGCTACTGACCTTAACCAAAGACTGGTGATGTGCTATAGGCAGGATAAGTACATGGTATGGGGTCAACGGCCCCTTCGCCAGCGCTAGGTAACAATGACTGCCCACACTTATTACTAAATGTTTCTCCACCGATGGAGAAGATAGGCAGAACCAGCATGTTTCTGAAATTATATTTTATCAAATTATTAGACATACTACACAAAATAATGTGTGTATCAGATAATTTTGAACAGAACGTAATTTGTATGAACTATTGATTGATTCTGCTTGAGTCCGCGGCTTCGGCGGGGTGGGAAGTTGATAAAAGCTAGCTAGCAGCCTATGTGTTAATCCAGGGCACCACCTATCTACACATCAAACTTCAACCAAATAAGAACAAACCTACATCCATAAATTCTCACAAACTTTCACATCATATATATATATTTCATAATATCAATACAAATACAAAAATCTTTATTTCTGTAACAAAATTTTCTTCTGATAATTAATAGCTGGAGTCTCCTTTTAGACATGTAAGTAAATATGCCTGTTTTAGGAGGCTCCGCTCATCCTTAACAAACCAAAAGCATAGCAAGAGACATGAAAACATATGTCAATAGGATATGGTGCATAAGTCTATCGAAATTTATATAATGTTCACACCCTTGGAAGAAGAGAAAGAATGCAGTTACTGCTACTATTACTACATTGCTATGTACTCAGACTTACCTGGATCAAACTTCTTCCTCTCTGGGTTGTCATCTCTATCCCTTCGTTTTCTCTTGCCACTGTCATCTTCCGGTCCATCCGTACTGAAGAAGTACTGTCCATTACCACTAAACTGCAACAGAAATAGAAGTCATTAGTATGTTATCTACATACTTCTTGTTTTTTTAAACTTGTATATGTTTATATCACACACTAGCTACTCTAGCGCGGTTTACCTGCTACTCAGCTCAATATGATCGTAGCGTGATGTTTTATAGCCTATAACACTCAGGAACACTGTAGCTATCTATCAGTGCAAGAATTTTGGCAATCTGACCAGCGGTTCCAAAGGTTACCCCCTACATACAAACTTACATCTTTATAATATTAGTATAGATTTAAAAATAATCGTGGAAACAGGATATAAGAAACTAGTTATAATAAAGAAAATATAAATACTACGTTTTTTTTACTTAACACGTTAAGCGCCATGGTGGTCTCCGGTGACCTCCGTTAGCGGAGGATTTGCCTTCAACAGTTTTCTGTCGGCAGTCAAAGACTTAATTGGCTAATTTCCTCAGTCAAGAGAAATAACGTAAGAATAGTATGACGTCATTATGTGCTTTTTCATACAAGATTCATAGAAAATTTTCATTCTAGTTAGACATTTTAATAAAAGTATTGAATTCGACTAGTTTGGAACTTATTGTTGTAGGTAATTTTTAAAGGTGTGATCCCATTAGTAAAAAGGCATTTACCTTCACAACTTTTCCAGGTTGATGTTGCATCAACAGGTCCGGATCATATGGGCATACGGTTTCATCAGTGGTCCCTTGCAACAGATCTGTGACTCTCATCTTGGAGATTGGTTGCAAGGAGCATGCGTAGATCCACTTCTCTTTGACCTTATTGCCGACTGGAGCTAACGCTATGAACCTTGTGGCGCATTCTCTGTAGTCTTGATGAGTGGAGAGGTTCCTATAAAGAAAATTGTAATATTCAACTGTGAAATAAAATGGGTCGGCTCGACCGGAGTGAAACCACGGCCTCACAGAAAACCGGCGTGAAACAACCACAGCGTTGTTTCGCCTCCAATACCTAAATCTCCAAATCCCTAATCCCTAAAAGGTTGTGGGTGTCCATGGGCGGCGCTGATTGCTTACCATCAGGTAATCCGTTTGGTCGTTTGCCGACGTATTATATAAAAAAAAAAAATTACATAATGAACTTCTCATATAAAATTTAATCATGACATTTTCATTAATAGGACATTTTTAAATTAGATCAGTTACTTCAATTAATTAAACTCAACATTTTTTGGTACAAATACTATGTCTGCATTTCATTTAATAAAATAACTATAATATTATTATACAATCAGCGCCGGACATGGACACCCACCACACCAAAGGATTTACAAGTGCTTTGCTGGCTTTTCTGTGAAGCCTTGGTGTCACGGCAGTGTAGCCGATGTAGGGATCTCCCACACTTACAACACTTTTGAGGATTGTATAAGACCAAGACTACGACAATAAAATTAAAATAGCTAATATAAAGTATACCTGTAAGGTTGTCTTTCGTAATGTTTGTCAGGTGAAGGTACAAAATGGTACCTCGGTTTTATATGGATGGCAAGCCAAGAAAGCAAGTTTGATAACCTCTCTTCATCTACATCTATCTGAAAATAACAATAAACGTGGTTATTTAAGAAAAGACGAAATGTTTCAAAATGTCTGTTATATAATTGTCCATCAAATAGAACATACGTCTAGCTAGACAGAGGTTTCATATGAGGAGAAATTGAATAGGAAGTTTGCTTATCAAATCAATATCAAATATTAAGTATAAATAATTTATAGAATCAGGCGTTACTTTGCGGAAATCCATGACATTAAATGTCAATCCATGGAAAAATGTTTAGTTTTTATTCCGCGACAAATTAGTCACGGAATAATAACTAAAAGTAATAGCAGAGTACCTATCGTTTTTTACTTTTAGATAAAAGTATGGAATTTAACTTGTGGGAAATTTCCGTATTATGGTTGGTGAGGACTAGACAGATTATAAGCATCATAAAAGCACCAAAATATGCTCCAAATAGACTGAAATTACACTTTTATCTCCTTCGATAAACCAATAATTTATAAAATAAATCTTTGCATGGTTGGTGCAGTGGCTGAGCAACAGGCTGCGGCGCAATGTGTCGCGGGTTCGATGCCCGCACGGAACAACTCTTTGGGTGATCCACAAATTGTTGTTCCGGATATATGTTGGTAAACGCACCCACAACAGAGGAGGAAGTACTAGTGTGAGACAACATTAAAAAGAAAATTGGCAATATGTTACCTAAAATCCAAATTATATTTAAATCAGTTTTTTTTTATAAAACAGCAAACTAAGATTTATTCAAAATAAAAAGCTACCAAATAAAATTTTTAATATACATTATCTGTATTTACTAGTATGTGATTGTTTATTGTATGTATGAACTGGTTCCTACTTACTTAAGGCTATGACTCACAACCTCTCAGCAAGGAGCTGTTAATTTAACTAGCAAATGTTCTGTGTCAGTTACACTAAGAGAATCATAATTAGAAATGTTGAAACCGTGTTACATGCAACAAAGGAATTTCATTGTACCTTTTGTGTTTCATCCTGTTGTATTCCAGCAGGCCAGAGAGTAGTAATCAACATATCCACCCCTCTATACTCGCTCTGTCCTCTAAAACATGCATCCCTCACTGCACTGCAGTCACTTGGTTCAAAAGTGCACATGGGGAGCTCTTTACCAAGTTCCCTCCGAGACAAACCAGTTAGATATGCTATTTTAACATCAGCACTAGTTGTAAATATCCCTCTTTTTCCTAAAAACACCATTTAAAATAAATTAAAGTAGACAATTACACATATTAAAAACTTGACCACCATAAATACAAGATATTTACCCATATAAATCACATTTGGCACAATTTCAGATCCTTCCTCGCAGTACAGAGGCACATGTTCAGGGTTGGATGGCCCAAAAACATATGTGGTTACTGGTACTGTAATAGAATAAGTTAAATTAAATAGCTATATTGTTGAATACAATTATCTTCCCCACAGAGGACTTGACAGGTGGTTCTTTTCATTGAATAATTTATCCTTTCTATTCATATTTTCTAAATAAAAATTTAAATGCAAGAGGGTTTGTTTATGTCTTTACTTTTATCACATTTATGTGATTTTATGGTATGATCTTAGTGTCTGGTGGTTATAGTTAAAGAGATTGCAATAAGTTAGGTAAGCTGCAATTTTATTCCTACGCGGGCAAAGCCAGGGCTAGTCAATTTAAATACCTTTCCGAGTGCCCATCTTATAAGCATCCAGCTCTGAATTATCATCGCCAAAAAAGTTTCCCACACATAGTAAGACATCAAACTGTCCTGATTTCTTGATGATCGATTCCACACGAGAAAATAAAGCTTTAAAGTTTCCATTTACATCGCCGCATATCAACCTGTAATCAAACAATTATTAGTAAGTTTAAAAAAATAAAGAGTTCTATGTAAAATGCACATTTATTTTGTCTTGTTTCGTATTTAATATATTTTGTATTTTTCAGAATTTATAAGAATAATAAGTTGTTAATTACGTTTTTTGTTTTTCATCCATTTCGAAATATTAGATGATTTTTTTTTATGATTTGTTTTGTTTCCCTATTTTGAGGTTATATTTTGTAATTGACATTTCATGTCATAAATCAAAAAGAGATGACAGAACAGAACAACTTGTTGTTATAAATAATGTCTATGGTTAATAGATGTAATTATTCCAAAGATGTGTTACAAATAATCCGAAAAATAAATCCAAAGAAATGCAAACAGCAAACACATGATTGGCAACATACAGCGTTCTTCCATTTTAGGCTGGTTAAGTTTTATTTTATCAATGTCTAAAAAGACAAGATTTCATAGAAATCTCGCCATGCACCATAGACAATTAATTAAAAAATGATTGGGAAAACGTCACGTTAACTGTTTATCAAACAATGCTTGTTTTCTATAAAAATAATTAGTTTAGTTTTAATAAGTGCATAATATTCTCTAAATAAACCATGGCTTCGTCAAGTAAATTGCCCGGTACGGGTTTGGAAGAAGTTGGAGTACCGGGGCAGTCGTACCTTCGCGATGCACTCACAAGTTGTACAGATCCATTGAAAGCTATTGAAGAGTTTCAGTTGGAAAATGGTATATTACTACCGTCATTGCGGCCTATGCTGCCTTTACTTGATCTTCATGGAGTGCGCCGGCTTGATTTCCATACATCTGTCCTGGAAGAACTGAGGGATAAGTTAATAGCTCACATCAATGAACTTGGTTCCAAAGATGGTAAGGAGCATGATAAGAAACTCAAAGAACTCCTCACTAAGAGTTTCCCTGTTGTCAGAGTAAAGGCTCTGAGACCTGTTATTATGAGCATACTGAAGAATACTCCTCACATTGATGACAAATTCCTAAGAGTTCTAGTCAGAGATCGTGAATTATATAATGATACAGATACTGAAGTAAAACGACAAATTTGGCAAGATAATCAGTCTCTCTTTGGTGATGAAGTGTCACCTTTACTCAGCCAATATATCAGGGAAAAGGAAAATGTATTGTTTGATCATGAGAACCTGACTAACCTATTCTTTTCACCATCTCCTAAGGTTAGGAGGCAAGGGGCTGTTGTTCAAAAACTTGCGCACATGATTGGTAACAGTGTAAAATTATATGATATGGTGTTACAGTTTCTTCGTACACTCTTCCTAAGAACAAGAAATGTTCACTATTGTACACTGCGAGCTGAGCTGTTGATGGCACTGCATGACTTGGAAATACAGGACATTATATCTGTAGATCCTTGCCACAAATTCACCTGGTGCCTAGATGCATGTATTAGAGAGAGAAATGTTGACATAAAGAGGTCAAGAGAACTGCAAGGATTCTTGGACAGTATCAAAAGAGGACAGGAACAAGTTTTGGGTGACTTGTCTATGACACTATGTGATCCTTATGCTATTAATTTCTTGGCAACATCTGCAATCAAAATATTACAACACTTAATAAACACTGAAGCACTACCTAGAGATAATACAATATTGATTCTCTTGTTGAGAATGTTAGCCTTAGGCTTGAGTGCTTGGGTTATGATTGATTCTCAAGAATTCAAAGAGCCTAAGCTTGACAGTCAAGTTGTCACTAAATATTTACCAGCACTAATGTCACTTATGGTGGATGACCAAGTCAGAGCATTGCACAACAAATTGCCCCCAGATGAGAGAGAATCTGCTATTACCACAATTGAACATTCAGGCCCACCGCCTGATGCTTGTGAAGCATACATGAGAGAAAGCTCTGTGTGTGGTGTTCTAGCTATGTATTATACATTACATGCAGCTAAATTGAGAGATAGGGGAGCATTGCTACGTATCCTTAGTATCCTTGGAAGTTGCAAGGATGGAAGAGCTTATGAAGATCCATTCTTACATGCTCTTGTGGCACTATTAGTACAATTGCCTGATGAATTCCAAGGTGAAGACTTCAGTACTGTATTATTTGATGAGTTCTTCTTTGCAGGTTTATCTAAAGATAATGTCACTAGGCATTTACTCAAATTACTATGGTACATTCATCCTAAATTGCCCGAAACTAGAATTCAGACTTTAATGAAAGCTCTTCAGCCAGGCACACAACACAATGAGTCTGTTCATAAGCTGTATGAGACTTTGCAGCAAAAGATGACTACTCAGTCAGAACCAGTTCCTAGCACAAGTGAAATGGAATATTTAGACTCACCTCTAATGAGTGTACCAACACCAGCTCCCTATCATATGTAAATGATGACTTATTGTATAGTCTATTGCTATATGAATTGATAATAAACTAGACTTAAGTATTGTTATAACGAATTGTTTCATTTTAACATGTAACAAGGAATAATAAATGAAGAACAATCACTGTAAAATATTTATTAGTAGCAACTTACAGTAAGTTTCAAATTAATACACATAAAAAATGTTAAAACAAAATATTGTACTTTCATAACTGCATAGTATCATTTTGGACGGAATAAGACTGAGCATTTATGGCATTTTATGTTACATTTATAAGTCGAAATACACTTTCAAGGAAGTTTCGTCATTAATTTTTTGAGTTAGATATTATATTTTTGTAAAAATATGTGTTAGAATTAGGCGTTGACTTGTCGAAGTTACGCGCGGTGGTCACGTCTGTCGGGCTTCATGTCCAATGAGTGAAGGGAGCGTAGAGACCGGGACCGCTCGAACAGGGACGGATCGGTGTAAATAGGCTCGCTACCGTCGTCGAATGCACTTGCCAAGCGTCCCGAGGAACCAGCTTCATCGCCTACTTCAGCGAATGTTCTTCCCAAGCCACTGAAATATAGTAATTGCCCTAATGTTAGTATGATACGATTTTAACTAAGCTAGTCAAATCACAATAATGATAATTAACAACTTTTTCGCCAACATAAATCATCATAAATCGATATTAATATAAAATTGATTTATAATCATCACAAATAATCATATAGGTAGGTAGTAGGTACATATTAGTAATTATTTATATTCTATCGATTTTTAATTACCTAACGCCTTAATAATAGTATCTACTTATTTATCTGGCCCATTAATTACTGAAAGATTACTAGTCTAGACATTATAAGTAGTTATTAATTAACATTGCAAACTTTGAATTCTTAAACTTAGTTGAGTAGATATTCAAAGGCCAAAATATTAAAAATATTTGTCTACCTACGATTTGCAGTTATTATTTGTTCAGGCTCCAAGGTTCTGGATAACGTAGCCGGCAAGTGCCTAGTCTTAGTACTAGTTTGCTGGTCTTAGGCTAACTCGCATGCACTACTTAGTCTCTAAGCTATTTCTGAATACTAATATCGTGAGATATTTATTGAAAATAACTAAAATAAATTGTGATTACGTCTCCATTATCAATAAATAATAGGCTGTAAAATCGTCAAATCCTATTAATATCAATCGATGATATGCTTGCCTTGTACTAGAACCTACTTAAAATGTCCATAACGTACCTTAATGAGAATGGTTTATGCAAATGCGAGGCGGAGAAAAGCGACGGTCTTGTAGGCCTAGGTCCAGGGGTCACTGGCCGCAGCGCAGGCGCAGGTGACGACGCTTGAATATTCTTTCGCAGCACTCGCCAATAACGTCTAAATAAGGAAACAATTAAAAAGCCAATTACAACTAACGTTAACATTTTGGTATTGTTTTTTTTATTAGATACTAAAGGGCAGACAATAGCTGTGACCACAAATACTTGTTGCTGAGAGCGTATGAATTTATTAGGTAGGTATTTTTGTTTTTGATTAATATATGATATAGAATTGTATTTTACCCTCACTTTTATATTTTATTTATTTACTTTGACATGTAGATAGGTTTCTCTTATGTGGGTAGTTGCTTACCAAAGACAATTTAAACATACCAACATATATCTACCTACTAAAATATTATTATGTTGTATTGCACAATTCCGTACCTAGTTACATATAAACATAAGTAAACATTTCTCATGTCATTTAGCTACAAACGCCGACCTACAACCACACTACAAGTGACATCACGCCTGCAACACGTGTTCTCTGCGTGTGAACGAGTTAAATATACTTACAAATGCAGCTAAATATAAACGCCGGCATCAAATTATGCGTCAGCTCAACGTCACATTGCACTGCATTAGGTTTAGAGAAAAAACGCATAAAACTAAGAATTGAATGTAACGGAAGATTCACTATATTGGGTGTTAAAGTTAGTCAGGTCAGGGTTAATCATCTTAGATATGTTTATGTTAATTTAGATGCCTTGATACTCGATTAGATAATTTTGTTTGATTACATAGCTCTGTGCTCTTTCTATTGTAAACCTAGCTAAGCTATACTTACATACATACTGTATGTAGATGTTTGTAGGTTTTAAGATAGGCAAAATAAATCGCTTAAAAGGCAACAGCCGGTCTTCCAGTTACATCGCTAAGCGTAGTAAAGTCATATCTTTCTTCACTTAGGTATCGCGTTAGGCTTGACACTTTGGGCAAACGAACATTTTTTATACTTGTAGGTAATATGTCGACAAACGAGCAGGCGGATAACCTGATGGTACCTATGCCATGGGCGTCGCCCATGGACACCCGCAACTATAGAGGAGTTGCAAGTGCCTTTTGAGGATTGGTGTTCCAGATTTAGGGATTGGGGAGAGGAATGATTGGGCCTCTGGTAACCATACGGTTGTTTCAAGCTGGTATTTTGTAAAGCCGTTTGTGGTATCATTGGTCGAATCGGCCCATTCGTGCCGAAGTATGGCTCTCCTACACTTATTCGTATAAAGCTAAGTAATTTCGCTTCAACGACAAACGTAAAATCTTCTATTCCTTGCTACTTTCCTTTATTAACTCTTTATCTCGTTTACACTTATAAGTAGCCAAAAAGATGGCGCCACTCGCGTCTATCTATACCATCAGGTGATAACGATAGGTCTGCTTGTTCGCCGATTATGTCGATAAAAACACTTGCTCAATTTCTTAGTTCTTAGTTTCTTACCTATAGATATACAAGGCAGCGGTGAGCATGGCGAGTAGCAAAGACAGCAAAACACAGAGGGCCACTAGCAGAGCCCTATAATGATACGGTGGAACACAGATGCCAGCAGCGGCGACTACGGGCGAGGAGTCACTCTCACCATTCTCTTCCAGTAACTCGTTTCGGTTGTCAAATACCTGAAGAAATGGCATAAAATTAAATATTGATAATGGAAAAATAACAAATTTATGTAAGTACCTACCTAACTCGTACCTATGTTTGATTGGAAATAAAAATGAACTGGAAGATATTTTCATCGTTGCTTGTTTAAATGTTGTTTTAGGAAAAAAATTTAGATAGGTACTATTTAAGTAGGTAGGTAGGTGGGTACCCATACTTATGGATTCGATGGTACCTACGGAGCAAATAAGGTACAAACCAAAATTTTGTACATGTTTATAACAAATATTGGTAAAAAAAAAATTTTTAAGCTCGGTAAGCCACCTACCTGTAGGTTTTCCTGCAGCTTAAATATAACATAGCCTAAATAAATACCTACCTCTAAAAACCAAAGGTTTTGAAAACACCTACGCTAGGTAGCTACGCAGGTATGTTATTCAGGTATGCAGGCAATGATGTATAAAACTATAGATACGTTGTCCGCGCTCTAAAATGACAACATGAAATGAAGGCAATTGACCACATCGCGCTTAGTTACGCACCAACCTGCCGCGCGACGCTACGTTTGTTTTTAATCTATATCGTGTGTAAACCTGTGCGAAACATAAAGAAAGCATGTCGTCGTGTGTGTTCAGACGATGTACAAATTATACTCCAAAAGTTAAAGACAAAAATGTGTCATTTCATGCGTAAGTTCACCAAACAACCTATTTTTATTTTACTTTTTTCGACGCCGGCGCCCGCCATTTATGGCGCCCGGCGCATGAAGGTATAGTCACGTGACGTCGGCATAACTGAAGATGTATATTTATCTCCCTCTAGCAAAGGCATTCCACTATACGATGTCATATTTTCTTTCCCTTTCTTTACTCGTAGAAGTAGTTATCTAGTATTTTCGCCGTTTTTAAGCGCCGCGATGTTGGTTCATGACGTGTCTATATATAATACGTCATTGTATGCAGGTCACAAAGTAATCACCTGATTCAAATTTATTTAGATACCTACCTACTTATAATTTCCTGTAAAACGCAGTGGGTAGGTACAAAGGTCGATGACACGATCACCTTATATACATAACATTGCTGTATCTAATAGGTAACTAATTACGCATTGTGATTAAGGCTTTATCAAGTAATCAAGCCCCCACAGTGAGACATATCTCTATATCAACAGATAAAACGTTGTTGCTATTAGCTGTTGAAACAAAAGATAAATTTGATAATTGCAGAGGCACTTAAATCCGAGAACGAATAGCTCTTGCCAAAACACAGCGGTTTCTATGTAGGTAAGTACAAAGATAAATGCCTAGGTTTCTAGAAACATTTAGAATAGTACGTCGTACCTTACCACAATGTGATTGCAAAAAATATCAAATTTGAAATAGGTACTTAGCAGTTTTTTGCTAACTGAAAAATCTTTAGAGTTAGTAGTTAAATATGTCTACTCTAGTAACTAGGTAGGTACCTACGAGTCCTTTCCGTTCCTTTCCTTCTTACCTCATCATCAATCTAAATAAAAACTTATTTCCAGAATCTTTACATCTAAAATCAATTAATAAAATCCTTACCTCAATCATCTTCCTCACATGACTTGGGGTCTCGACCTCGTCCTTGAGATATTTATCAACGGTAGCCTCTTCATACGATACTTTGTACACAGTGCCTGCATTTTTATCGTCTTGTTTGTCTGTCTTTGTGTCATTACTGTCTGTGGACTTAACTACGGCTGTGTTATTGCCATCAACACCAAGTGTAGAGTTCACGTCCCTTCGACGCCTTCCAAATGATGGCTCCGATCGTCCCGTGTGGCTTGGACAATACGCCTGAAAATAACAATATCAGAAATGATTTTGAAACAAATATATTAATAATTCTTATGCAATAACACTTCTATTTAGTTTTCAATTGATGATTAAGTTGCTTTCATCCGTGTGTTAATATGAGACGACAATTAAAATACAGTTAATTTTATTCCGAGTTGATAAACTAATGATCAAGCGTCTAGATTTTTAATTAATATTGCCATTCGCTCTTTTGTAAGTCACGTTTAATTTTCTCATTAATAAGAAACCCAGTTGATTGATTTCATTAGGTATCCACTGGCGGACCGTCCTTGCTGCACTCATAAGTCTCTATTCCGGTGACGACGAAAGGATTACAACAGCCCAATTTTACAAAATACTTTTCTAAGATTTTCTTTCATAAAATCTGCCAATGAGAATTACAAAAATAACAAAAACAGAATTGACAAAACTGGTCCAGGCGTTGTTGATTCATGCCCTTAGATAAGTACCTACCTAACACTAACTTTGCGATTTATTTTTATAGGACTAAATTACTATAGATAATTTAACTCAACTCGATGCTCAATCTACATTTAGGTATAATGACTTAAGTACCTATCTACTTCGAAGTAATAATAAACCATAGTTGTGTCTTCAAAGTTACATTATATAACTTGGATAATACTTCTAATGACAACCAAACACACCATTTGTTATTCACGTGATACAACTAGATAAGCAAATAGGGTCAATAAGTCGTAGTAGAAGATGCTAAATTGCATAAACAGCATCTATTTTATGCATAACAAGGCACTGCTATCTTGCCGCGATAACCCGGGAACTGGATGAAGCTTGATAATTGTATATTTTTAAAAGCATTGACGTAATTGAAATCGTATGAGTTGTTTAGATAATGAAGTTAAAAGAATAATAAGAAAAACAGGTACTTAATGGGTTAATAGGCCGGTGGTAGATGACTATAATTTCTATATCCATTTAATGTAACCTTCCTAGACTTTACCTTCTTCATACCTATAGTTGAAGCACCAATAAAAGTTTAATATGAGATCTTGGAACATTTGAAATTATAAAACATTTATTTTTAGATTTTATAATGACCTCAATTGTATTGTTAGATCGGTGACGTAGTGGTTTCTATACGTAGGTATCCGTAATGCCCTTTATTGAAATAAATTGGTCCAATAAAAAGTTGTTAAATTGCTCCGTGTGTACTGAGTCGCAGTAGGTTGTAGAAATTGAAATATGTTTTATTAATAACAGTTTTTATAATAGCGTTGGTAGTTGGAATCTAGATAGGTATGGACAGATGCCTATTGGCGTAACTTTGCTTGATAAGTTATAATTATACGGCTTAATGATGAATCTTGTTCTCATCATTAAGTATATGAAAATCTTTCGAAATACTTATCTACTTATTTGTCTTATTTTTATCAGATAATACTGTCTGCAAGTACAATCCGCTCTTTATTCTAAGAAACTATAGCAGTAATTTTGAAACGACTACTTACTGGTTCTAGGATCTAGGTCATTATCGTAATATTAAATCAATGTTAAACGCACTAACCGGCTGACATCCATCGCGGCACGTACGCACTGTCGCTTCGAAAACTAAGAAGTTCGATTCTGGGATCTTGAAAGCGTTGAATCTCGCTTCCAAAGAATCTCCGTTGCGACCCTTGTCCAATTCAGGGAATACGTCAGGATCTACAGGACATCTGGAATGCAAAATAAAAATCATTTTAAAATCGCAAACCTTTTATTTATAAAATTTTGGCATGCATTTTGGAACATATGACTTAAGCGCTGATATCGTAATTAAAACGGAGATGCAGGGAACGCAAGTTTTATAAATCTTTTATCTAAAATACAAGATGAATCAATTAGAAGAATTTTTTACAAATAAAACTGACGAATCAGAGAGATAAACTTACCCAACACGATCAATTAGCTGCACCGATCGTCCAGAATAAGGATCTCTAGCGATGACATTTGTGGCAAATATATCCGTTGCGTAGTTGTATCCGTCCTGAGCTTCCAATCTGAACGTTAATGGATCTCCAACAGCAATGGTAGTCGTTGGTCTGCCTTGATACAGGATCATCAGACGGACTTTGGAGTTCAAAGAGCTCTCTTCAGGCAGATATTCGATAGGGATCGGACTACCAGACCTGTCAACCAAATCATACCCAAGACTACGGTTAGATTCGAAGAGATACTTCCATGAACGTTAAAATGACTTTGAATGAATTTGCCAATGGTAATTTAGAATAGCAAAATCCGTACAAAGGTCGAATATAAGCAAATTCATTCAAAGTCCCCCGTTAGTAGCTGTTAGTGATAACAGCACTCAAAAACAACATTCAGCTAACTAAATAAACCATCCTGTTAATTTCTACATTCCAAAATTTCCAGAAACTGAAAACGTTAAGGAAAATCTGGCAAAAACAAACAGCAGCGCTTCGAAAACCCATTAGCTATAAAATAATGATTCTACAAAAACTTTCCCAAAATACACCAAATGCGAAAACAAAATGGTTTCAGCGAAAAGTAATGTTTAGGGAAACACCTATAATAAACAATAATGTAAACAAATGCAAACGTATAGGAAATCTTCAAAAGCGAACTCATGAAAACACGCAACACTTGTTATAATGTTAATTGACAAAATTTGTGTCTACGTGATAAAAAAAATATTCCTAAATAACACAGTAGCCGTTTTTTATTTGAAAGAGGTAATTCGCTAATTATGTTAACGAAAAAAATGTTCCATATACGTTTATAGAAACAATAGTATTTATCAGATAGACACAAATTGATGATCGATGACATAATTCTCACCCGGCGCCGATGTAATTGGATGTGACTACAGCCTCTGCTGGGCCTCGAAACAGGCAAGTCAAGTTGAAACGCTTGTCGCGAGAAGTTTGCACGTTGTCACTGAATTGGACCACTACGATGTTCGTCATCGTATCTCCGTACTAAAAAGTAATATTTTATCACAAACGGGGATCGTAATCAGAGGAGATAAATTATTAGAGGAGAATATAAGAAAGAAATTGATAATTGAGAAACAATACAAAGATACCAACCCTCTGTGTTCCACATTCGGGATACCCATGAGCTCCAGTGATACGCAAAACGTTGACTACTCCGCCATTTCCGCGGAAGAAACACCGATCATAAAAGCCATAAGTATACATTCGACCATAGAAACCTTCGGGAAGTCGAAGAGTGAACTCCATTCCATCTTCGTTACAGACTTGAGATACTGCAAGATAATTTATGTATATTTAGTTGAAATTCTTGACAAAAAGTTTAAGTAAAAGAAGTCCACAGAAGAAATATGTCTGTCTTAGTAATTAAATCATACCATCCAAGCAATCATCAGCCATCCTGCCGAGAGCTCGTTCGTAGAAATCATATTCATTAGCTGTATTATCGAAATGCGCCGGATTAGCAGCGTCAAGCTCCCTAGTGTCTCGATCACTCAGCTCACAATTATCACGAGGTTCCCCAGCGTACGCGCCATCTATACCCCTGTTAACGTGATTTGGGTCAGAAATGTCACTAAATCTAGTGCGATTACATCATAGCATCGTAGAATGTTTAGTATATTTACCGGTAGTTGAATGACCGACAGATAAAGTCTCTGGCCTCTATGCATTCTCGTTGGCAATGAGCCAGTGACTGAGCAGTAGTGAATCGTCGAACATATCGTCTCTGCATGCGTTGTCTACCCACTTGTCTGAAACTGTCTTCTTCACATCGTGATCCTTGCCATGGCCGTTGACCAATTGGTGGTCTACCTATACCGTTTCCAATAGGGCCTCCAATTGGACCTCCAATAGGTCCGGCTATTGGACCACCAACTGGACCATTAATTGGTCCACCAAGACCATTAATTGGTGGTCCTACTGGGCCAATAGGGCCATCAGGTTCATAAACTGGTCCACTACCATATGAAGGTCCACCGCCACCGTAAACTGGTCCACCTAAACAGAAAAATGTTTTAGTAATAGTAAATAAATATTTTAATGAGTATTTAATTGACTGAAATACATACTTATAGGGCGTTCTACTGGCCCGGGTGGTGGATAGGAACCGCGATAACCGTTTGGCCTTTCAATAGGTCTTCTTAAACCAAAACTGGGTCTGGGTTCCACTGGATATCTGTACACATATTTTAAAACCAATGTTGATATTCTCATAGTTAAATAACCCGAAACTCTTGATTTGTCTTTATTTACCTGTCTGTGCCTGGTCTGATACCTCTGTCAGGGAATCGATCGGGCCCAGCATAATCGGGTCCATAGTAGCCCCCACGTCCGTAGCCTGCTACAAGAAATGTCTCGTGAAATGAATTTTATTTATTTAAAGCCTAAAAATACACAAGCTTTAAAGGAATCTAGAATAGTTATGTGCTCACCGGGGTATGATGATCCGGTCGGCGGATATTTGTTATACAAATCTGGGTAACGGTCCCCGCCCAGAGGCACAGGGTCTCTATTCACCCCAACTGGGTAGCGACTGAACGGGTACCGTCCCCAATCGTTAGTTCCAGGGTATCTGTCCTGATCCAACCTATCAGGATAGCGGCTGGAGCCCCACCCCGGTCTAGTCGGGTATCGGCCACTGCCTCGTACAGGGAATCGTTCAGGGTATCTGTCTTGTGGGAACCTTTCAGGGTAAACGTCAATAGGGTATCGGCTAATAGGATATCGGTCAACTGGATACCTTCCGATGTCGTTAGTAGGATAGTCATAGAGTGGGTATCGCCCATTGTCAACTGGATAACGGTCACCACTAGGGAGGGGATATCTTCCACTGCTTGAAGGGTATCTATCGACTCCTAGCCCAACTCCAGGTGGGTATCTGTCAGCACCAGGAGGATATCGGTCAACTCCCGCTGGGTATCGGTCTGCGCCAATCGGGTATCGATCAGGACCAATTGGGTATCGGTCAGGACCAGATGGATACCGATCAACACCAGGAGGGTAGCGATCAATACCCGGTGGATATCTGTCAGCTGGGTATCGGTCTGCAACTCCAGGAGGATATCTGTCAGACGGGTAGCGGTCTGATCCAACGCCAGGTGGGTATCTGTCGTCGGGGTAGCGGTCGTCAGGGCCAGATGGGTAGCGGTCGTCTGGGTACCTATCTGGCCGACGGTCGCCATACCGGTCGTCATCTGGGTACCGGTCGTCATCCGGGTAGCGGTCTACGCCTGGCGGGTATCGATCCCGGTCGCCTCCATTACTACCACCTTGAAATAAAAAATGTATTAGTACAAGAGTTTCAATATTATTAGTAAAGTAATAGAATGAATAGAAAACATCAAACATGCGAACAAAACAAGTCTATACTACTACTCACGGAATAGATAAATAAGGTTGGAATGGTAATGTGGGCGGGGCGAGCGCGCCACAATTATGATTCGAAAATCATAACTCGACCGATTCATTCATTCACCGCGTTTGTTGCGCTTCGGGCTACTTCGTAGAACAGAGCTCTGCTTTAAAATGCCGTGTTGTGCAATTATAACTTGTAAAACAAAAAGTCAAACCGCAAGTATAGAGCGAGGAGGTATATCTTTCCATCGGTAAGTCGAAAATAACATTTAATTATCATTTAATTAGTAAAAAACATAAAATTATTCTGATCATTATGAAATTCCAAACATTAACAATATTATTGCAACAAGTTACAAAAAAATATACATTGCCCGATGTGTACTCGCTTAATCAACGCAATGACCAAGTCCGCTTACAATGTACTGCATGCATTGCGTTCTTTACACTTCGTTTCGTCCTTTGCTCTGATTGGCTGTGATGCAAGGCGCCATGTTTATCGATAGTGAGGTGACCTTGTCGTTAAATAAAATCATCGATAGAATTCTCAAATAATTTATATTTACGTTTGATAAAGATAACTTTTGGATTATTTAATGATAGTATATTTTTAGTTAGACGTACTCGAATAATGAGTAAATTAAATGTTATATTAAATCATTGAATGAATGTGACCGAATGATATAAAGGGACATAGGGTTAAATTGAATTATTGGCAATACTTTAAGAGGTCATTGTACTCATCATTATGAACAACTTTTACTACGGGACCAAACCTGAAATCACGAAAGAAAAACGGCTGTTCCCTTCATTTTGATAAGTCTGAAAAATATTGCCTATGAATGCAATTTCACCCTGTAGATCTGTCATCTACAAGTATTTGCTATATTGTGTTTAGTATTTAAAATATAAGTAAAATGCAATTTTACTTCAGCAATAAATTATACATTTTAGGTTTCCTAAAGAGCCTAACGCCCGAGAACAATGGATTGACGTGACAGGTAGAGGAAACTGGATGCCGACAAAGACGAGTACTATTTGCTCTAAACATTTTACTGAAAATGATTTTATCATTAAAAAATCAGGTTATAGGTACCTAAAACCAGGGACGATCCCAAGAGAACAAATTGTTCAGATTTGTTCAAGTTCTTTGGTAGGTTTTGTCAAAATTTATTACTAACTTGTTGGAAGTTTGTCCCATATTTCATATTCTACTACTATTTATTGTCTCCTACATTATGAACAAATCTGATTTTAGGTTTTATTTTATTTGATTGTTAATTTTCATGAAATATATTTTGAGTATGTATGGAATCTTATAATAATTATTACTGTAGATTAATATCACACTCCGGTAAATGATTATCATCCAAGCTTCCAGCTCTTTAAAAATAATTTAATTTTGATTTTTTGTTTTCTACTTTGTAAGTTTATGTGGCATATTAAGACTTTTGCATTATTTTTCAGACAACTAATTCTTGCAATGCTATAATTAATAAGCCCAGTTACGTTGCTATTTCCGCCAGTGTGCAAAATTGCGAAGGCACTCAGGTAACATAATACTTATATGTTATCTTGAATTATAATCGCTCGTGTAAAGTCAGCTTTTCAAGATATTTTATGCTATTTATAATTTTAGGATTTACAAGCACAGGCTTCATCTTCAACTTTGTTGACGTTGACACCAAAAAGAGATAAAAATTTAAAAAGAAAATACACTGAAGTAAGTTAATTTATACCTACAAAGATTGATCAAAAATCGTTTCATAGTTGTTTTTTTAAAGATTAATGGGTTTACTAATGTTTCTCCAAAGCTTATTTCACAAATTTTCACTTGACAAGCAACGATTCATATATATTATTGATTTCACAAACCACTTGTTCCGCAAATGTTTCATTCATTCATTTATTTGTAGGAAAGCGTAATGTCATCTTCAAATGCAAGCACTCCTAGGAAAAGAAAGCTACAAAAGATAATCGTCAACAAAGAATGTTTAATAAAGAAACAGAGGTTGAAGATAAGAAGGATACAGGCACAAAACCGAAGACTGAAAAAAAAATTTAATAAAATGCAAGATGTTTTAAATGATCTTCAAAAAAAATTTTCATTGCAGGACGAAGATATATCTGTTCTAAAAAATTTAAATGTTAAGGTGATTCCTCTGCCCGTGAAATTTATTTTTTTTTGTCTTTTTTTCCAATTTACAGGTCAGTTTCAGCTTGTATTGATGATTCTTATGGTTATAATTATGTAAATACATACTTGTTATTGTCACGAATTAAATTTTCATCAAGATACAAGCTGAAATTTACCTGTAAATTGCAAAAAACGACAAAAAAATAATAATATTGCTGGCTACATCGATGGAGGTGGCCTTATAAAAATAACAGAGATAATGAAGATATATTATTTTAATTTTATTCACAGATACAAGAACTGACAAATCGTATGATAGCAAAAAGTACTGGTGGTGGCCCATCTAAGCAAAAATATAGTCCAGCTCTGCGTAGTTTTGCGCTAACACTTGACTATTATTCGCCTAAGGCGTATGAATACGTACGCAAAACTTTTGATACTTGCCTCCCGGATCGCCGTACGCTTCGAAAATGGTACCAAAATATGGGAGGTGATCCTGGTTTTACTGCAGAATCCATAGAGGCGTTAAAAATAAAAGTGAAAAGCACGAAATATCCCATTATTGCAGCCCTTTCCTTGGATGAAATGGCTATACGTCGTCGTATAGAATGGGATGGAAAAAAATTACTCGGACATGTTGATATTGGCAGTGGCATCGAAGGAGACCACGTAGGAATAGCCAAAGAGGCTCTGGTATTTCTGGTGACAGGCATAAATTGTAATTTTAAGGTTCCCGTTGGATATTTCTTAGTTGACGGAATTAACGGAAGACAACGCGCAGACTTAATTTTACAATGCTTGGAACTTATAGCAGAAACAGGCATACAAATAATTTCCCTAACTTTTGATGGATGCGCTGCAAACATTGCAATGGTAGAATGCTTAAACTGTTCAATCAAAGATAAAAAAATTTCTTTTCCACACCCGTCAACGAATAATCCAGTTGTTGTAGTGCTAGACCCATCACACATGATAAAATTAATCCGTAATGCTTTTCAATGCTATAACACATTTTTAGATAAAGATGGTAATACCATAGAATGGCGATTTTTGGAACAATTAAATAACCTTCAAATGAAGGAAGGCTTTCATTTAGCGAACAAGCTTCGTTACCATCATGTTCATTTTCAAAATAATAAGATGAAAGTTAAGCTCGCAACGCAATTGTTCAGCCTAAGTGTAGCAGACGCTATAGACTTTTGTCGTGACCAATTAAATCTACCTTCATTCAAAAATAGTGAAAGCACAACATTTTTTTTGAGGATTATCAATAACATGTTCGACATTTTTAATTCCCGAAACACATATGAATATAACTTCAAAAAAGCTCTAACAGAATCCAACGCTGCAATGCTGCTTAATTATTTAGACATGGCGACGACGTACCTATCCGAGTTGAGAACAGAAGAGGGAACTCTTTTGACAAAAAGTTTACGTAAGACTGGTTTCAATGGTTTTATTGGATGTGCTGAAGCTGTTAAACATTTTTATGAAACGTTAATACGTCCTGGAGTTCTGATTTTTATGCCATTTTACAAAGTAAGCCAGGATCACCTTGAAATGCTTTTTGGAAATATTAGGTCACATGGTGGAGGTAACAATAACCCCACGGCCCGCCAGTTTAAAGCTGCGTACAAAAAACTTTTAGTTCATATTGAGTTAAAAGCTCTCGATAGTGGAAATTGTACTGCGCTTGAACACATTTCAATTCTTGATTGTGCATCATCTCCTGTAGCACGGATTAATAGATCCATACGAAGGATTGCGATTGAAGATGACGATGATGATGATGATAATAATAATAATGAAGAGGATATTAACGCATTTTTCAATACCATCTCAGATTTTAGCAATCAAATCATTAGCCATATTTCAGGATACATAGCGCATATTTTAATTAAGAAAATAGATTGTGATATTTGCATTGGAGCGCTGTTGTCCAATAGCATAAATGAAGACCATAAATTTATAGTTGCTAAAGATAAGGGTGGTCTGTTATACCCGTCAAGAGATTTGATACAGATTTGTAAAATTTCAGAGTCTGTTATCAAAATTTACACGGAAAACCTCCGTAATATAAACAAAAAAATGTTGATGGCAAAAATTATGCGTCATTTTGTAGGAAGTGAAATATTTAAAAACATAATTTATCATCAAATTGGCCAATACCCTACAGCAAACCACGTCACAGACCTCACCAAAGCAATTGTTGAAAAATATATTAACGTAAGGTTACACTTTGTTTTGAAAAACTCTTTAACCATTGATAGCAAGCGCCAATTGCTTAATAAATACGTTTTATTCCAAGGACAGTGATTATTTGTAATTAATAAAAGTAAAATAAATATTTCTTAATATTTATTTCATGTTTCATTTTTTCCCATGCATTCATCAGATATTTATCGATAAAGAATATCGACTTTATCAAGCACTAGCGCGTATGAGCTTTTTTGCATGTGTGTGTCTATGCCTACGAGACCTTAGAGCTAGTGTGCGAACGAATCTCTGCCCTGAGATTTATGTGTGTGTGATTTGGTTGTGTGCGAAATATTTGTAAACATACTAGTGCGTATGTGTAGAAATTAAAATAGTGGGAGACAAGCGGCGACACTGGTCCTAATACAAAATTGGAGCTAGGGCCTTTCCAACCTTATTTATCTATTCCGTGCTACTACTAACTACATGCTAACTAAGGTTTATTAATAGCTACTACGATTACCTTACAATGACCAGCATGCTGATAACAAATAGATCCTAGAAATAACAACAACAAAACTACTACATATCAATACCTTAGTACCTACAGAGCTTATTTCTATTTAACTAATCTACTAATTAGAGCATTCCTACGACTTACCTTATGACTAAAATTTACAAAAAAATACATTTCTAGTTTTCTACAATCCCAATACAAAAATCCAGATTCCATTTATTTAACTTCTACCTACATAATTTTTATAGTGGTTGTTGAATGTTTATTTATAATGTTAAAATAGTTTATGAATCAATTGTTCTGACGGACGTATGTATGAATAAATGTTAACGCCGGTTAACGACTTTTTATTCACAATAACAAGTACCTACGCAGATATCAAAATGTCTACATATTATTTAATAATTTTATTGTAAATGTTTATTTATTGATCGATTTTATTTTTCTGACTTCCAGAATACGTTGATTTGTAAGAATAGGTACGAAATATTTTTCAACACACTTCCTCATAAAGTGGCTCCTATGGCAATTAGGCACATAATGACACCTACATGTACATATAACCAAACTGTGAGTTTTCATTACTTTTATTCACGAGTGAGTAATAGACTTTTTTTCATTTATTTAATGAGTTACAGACTTACGCTTAGCGCTAGAATGTTATCCGAGAAAAGCCAAAAAAAAGAAACTTCACTTTTAGTCTATGGCCGATGTGTGCATAGGAAAACTGATTATTTTTTCCCGCCATTACGAACTCATATCGTTTTCTATTTAGAAGTTATTTTGGTTATTTATTTAAGTATTATTTTATTCAGAAGTGTGTGAGAATTATCAAAACACGGAACTACGTGTGGAATATTATCAGCATGCTTCGTAATTTTGCTAACATTCATCAACCACTACTACTTCACCCCGATCCTGTCTATCATGCATCGAACCTGTGGAAGTAGCTGGACGTCCCCCCCAATTGCCCTGTGAACCAGTCCCCGGAGTCCCAGCTTCGTTCTCCCCTCCGACTAGCTGATCTGAATGCCCAAATCATAGTCGTCAATGTAAAAGTCTTCTAAAGAACTTTTTGTGATAATAAATGGTTATATTGATTATAGCGTAAGTTTATCAGTGAATAATTAATGGTGGAATTCGAATATAATGTGATAAAATGAACAAAAATTTGACATTATTAATTTTAAACAATAGGTAGATACTAGTGTTGCCCAAATGCAAGAACAAGACGAGACTTAGCCAGTCTTGGTCTTGGTCTTGGTCTTGCACCAATACACCTGGTCTTGGTCTTGGTCTTGGTCTTGCGCTCCCAGCCTTGGTCTTGGTCTTGGTCTTGCAGCAAGTGTCTTGCAAGTCTTGCAAGTCTTGCAATTACCCATTAGTCTATTACTATTTATTAAAGTTTAATTTAAATCTTAGAAAAACGTATTAGAATTGGAATATTGTGAGCTTGAATTAACATAGCCATAGTAAAGATCAAGCAGATTAATAAATAACTGAAGATTTGATAAGAAATTCGAAAAATCAACTGACCTATACCTATGTCGTTTTCCATGGAAGTAACTGTTTCTTAATAAACATTTATGATTAATAAGCTTACATTTGCTAAAACATGTAAAAAAAAAGAGATTGAACCCTCAACTTATAAGAAGTTTAATAGAAGAGTTTTACGATTTAAAATTTATTTGAATAAAAAATAAAATGCAACACAAATCAACAGCTTTATCATTAGGTTATGATACTTTCTATCAATTTTTTTGACTAAGAATTAATACAAAGTAACATCTGGCTGACTCATCACTTAACCTATTTCTATGTTTTCTAATTACTAATGATGATTTAAAAAATAACCTCTCAGCAATTTCAAGTATATTTAAAAGTGGCTACAATATTTATTAAACGGGTGATATTTGAACACTTTTTTGCTATTTTTTCTTGTAAAAACTTAAGAAATATAATGACTAAATGTACAATACCTAATAGTACCTAAGTAATTAGTTTAAAACCATATAAGTAATCAATATTATAATATGTATGTATACTTACTAAAATGAATTAATATGACATCTACTACCTATCCTTACCATTTTATCCTAATCATAATACTACTTGCGTGATCAGTATAATGTATTCATTTTCATTCTAAACACTCTGAAACTTATTTATTCTTTGGAACACCTGTAGGTACTCTTAAAATTCGAAATTATTTTGCATGAGTATACCTACGCCCTATGGCGGCAATCAAATAGTGTCAAATGTTATGATTTCGGCGTGGCGGCAACGATTGTTTTAGATTTTAAAAGAAGCCGGCGCGTGTATCATAACCATGTACTTCCGAAAAGCGGCAAACATGCATGCACTCAGTTTGATTTTAATAGATATTTTTTATTCGCTATGTTTATGGTATGAGTCGTAATGCGCATAGGTCCAGTTTTTCATATTCTTTGATACAGTTTTTTGCGTCTCATAAAATTCCTAAGCGTAGGTACCTACGTATACACCGAACTGTTACACCTTACTACTCAGTGAAATAGCGCTAAGTCCTAGCTGCAAGACGCAAGAGTCTTGCAGGCTATGTCTTGTTCTTGCTCAAGTCTTGCACGGTCAGTCTTGGTCTTGGTCTTGCTAAAAATACGCGGTCTTGTTCTTGGTCTTGGTCTTGCAAAAACGCAAGAACAAGACCAAGACTGCAAGAACAAGACTGAATTTGGGCAACACTAGTAGATACGCGGTTTAACAATTTTTAATAATTGTTTTTTGTTCTACTATTGTTATTGATTTTTATTTAATAAAAAGATATAGAAATATATCATTTATAGTCTTCGCCTCAAACGTCCATGAAGATTACGATACAAAATGATTTCAGTTTAACACGATGTTGATGCGAAAATAAAATAGATACCTAATAAAAGTAAAACAATGAATATACGGTCCTATTTTATTAAATTACTAACTTTTATTACTTCCTTTGTCCGCAGAAATACTAACATGACTATTTTTAGAATTTAAATTGTAGCCTGGCTTGAAATCCACACCAATAACGCAGATAAATATGATATTTACGAACACCGAAGGGTCAACGTTGGGTGATTCTCGACGTGAGTCGTACCAATTGACTGGTTTTCAAGGATGCCAAGAAACAACGACAAGAAGAACTAAACATTGCTTAGAAGAGTTTCCAAAATAATTAATAAAACAATAAAAAGAACATGAATTAACTGAGAAAAGCTCGACTAGTTTCAAGACACAACGGGACTCTTGGTTATGATCAGTGTACGCGTCGCGGCGATACATAACCACCGTGTGACTTGAAACTACCTAGTTAAAGTAGCTAGTTAAAGTTAATTCCCGTGCTTAGTAATTATTTTCAAATAATTTTAAATGTCTCGTTATAATTACTATTGAAAAAAAACAATAAGAACAGAGAAGATTTGCATTATCGTATTTTGGAATTATAGGCATAACTCGACACATTATTTATGATAATTTGACTATAAAACGTAATGCAAGTTTATATTCACGATAACGTCAGAGCGATTGATATTATGTGACGAATGATGTTTATAAGCAATATAATCGAGCCTTTCGAGTTAAAACCGAATTGTAAACTTCTTGTTTAAGGTCCAAGATTTTCTTCATAACGTTAGAAGTTCAGAAGTAATTAAAGCAACATTTTACTTGCCTGTTCCAAACAATACCTAAGTATTATATCATCTCTTGAAGCCAAAAATTTATTAAACTCAATTATTGCTTTTATATGTATGTTCAAGCAAATAGCATTGTGTAAATGAGTGTAGTGTATAGTATATCATGAAAAAAAATTCATGTTATTAATGAATTATAGGTGTTCCTAATAAAAGCATCCATTATCGTAATATTCCCTAAAGTTGAAACATTTTTCATTGTTTATAATATTTTTTTCTAAACCTAAGCAACCCTGTTAGGACCTAATAATAGGCACTACGTCGTGCTCAACTCTATTAATCCCAATTTGTACTGATACGTTTATTGGTTTCTTCCTTCCATTCTGCCGCGAGTGTCGTACGTCATATTGCAGTCTAAACATTCACATGTGATTTACAATTGCAACTGACCTAGATTACCTACGCTTTGTATTACTGCCAATGAAACGTAATCGACTAACACCCGGTTTCCGAAAGGCCGATCAATGTAAAAACCTAATTAATCTCTTGTCAAGTCATCTGATTGGTTGTTGATAATTCAGTCAACCAATCAGATAACTTGACAAGAGATTTAACAGGAGATAAGTTAATTTTAGCGTTGACAAGCCTTTCAGAAACCAGGTGTAAGTTTCTAATAAGAAACCTTTGCCACACAGTTTTTGTTTATCACTACATATATAGTATAGAACAAAGTAGCTTGCTCTGTCCTTATATCCCTATGTATGCTTACATCTCTAAAACTACGGAACAGATTTTGATGCGCTTTTTTTAATGGATTGAGTGTTTAAGGAGGAATTGTTATATAATGTATAATAACATTAATTAAATAGTGAAGGAATTGAGTAGGTATTACCACATTTATAATTTAAACTCTTATAGAACTGACTATGCAGTCTTTGTGATTAAAATAAACCAGTGAATAACAATGAAATCGATTTTTGGGAAATTCTGATGATACCTACAACAACAATGCAAACACAAGCGATACTCACGCATCAAATTTTCATAATAATCGAAATCGGGATCGTAAAGCAGTCGCATGCCATCCTTCTGATTGTATCTGCTCAGTCTGCATGTCCTGGCTCGGTCGCTGTACACCGCCGACCTGCCGAACAATGCTTAATGTTGCTGAATAGCCCACACGCACGCAATCGTACAACGAACTTGTCACACCTTATCTCCAGTACTTGTGACACACAAAGCCAAACAGATAATTTAATGATCTGTTTTTCGTTTTCCCGAAAGATTACGACAATGTTTATAGGTCAGATTGTGTTTCGATTAGCTATCATAGTTCTAGCTTTAAAGGAATATCCGCAGATAAAGCTGCCATTATTTTGTTGTTTTGATGTACAAAGATACTGAATCCATTCTTTTCAATGTGCTACTGGTTTATTTTTATCTTTAAACTCAACAACTGATATGTCAGCAAAATATCGGTGGGAGTTACAAAATGGCCTTTACGGTTGAGAAGTTATGTAAATATATGGGCGTCAATTGAAAAGAGATGACACGCGCATTTCGAAATCGTGTTCAAACGGCACAGTGACATGTTTCGGTACATTACCTGCACTGGAAGCTGGTCTGCCTCAAACATTCATCCAAACACTCGCTGAGGGATCGGCCGGTGATCTCCGAGTGGAACTCTCCAGTAATCCGACTGTTCCTGTACCTCTGGAAGGCCGTGTCCGGGCGACGTCCGGGAGAAAACAGGTGTGACGTCACACTGTTGTCCGGGTACTCCGTGCCACGAGCTGTCACCCGATGAGAGACTGATCATAATCGTGAGAAAAACCTTAATGTGGTTTCATGCACAGTTAATTCAGGAATTTCAGAATGTTAATTGCAAGCATTATTACGTTTGAAAAAGCGTTTAGAGGTTAAATATAGACACTACATACAGCTGTTATCTAGAACTAACAGACAATCTTGATAATACTCACGATTGTCCAAGCAAACAAGGTCGTAGAAGTGATGGGTGGGAGATGCGCTAACAGTCACGTCGTCTTTCTGTGAAACTGAGTCTTCCTCAGACAAAACGCATTGGCGAGTCATAGCATCATGCTCGATGGAGCGGCAGAAATATCTAAGAAAAGATTTCGTATTTATCAGGATTATAATACAATGTACAGCAAAGGAATTCGTGAAATGAAACTATGTATGTCTTACTTCTCAGCCCGAACACACATTGCTTGACATTCATCAAGAGTCATGTTTGAAAACACGTCGGCTTCGAACGGCCCGCCGAGGCGCTTGTTTTCTTCTTTAATGAAAACTGCTAAGCCATCACAACGACGTTCGGCTAAAATAACAGAAAATAACTCATAATATTCATCCTAGAAATCCAAAATGAATAGTTATGTTAGCTTTAAAGTTTATTTACCATTTAAACAAGTATTTTCTAAATAATCTGCGTTGTGGTCATCTTCCAACAATTCTGGATGTGTCCTTCGAGTAAATCTGCTAAGGGAACAAGTCCTCAAAGCGGAGTCATATGTGGCTGAACGGCATACAAAGCTAAACTCTCCCAGGCATTTATCTTCACACTCTGTTCGGTTAGTGACCATTATTTCCTTTAGATCTGAAGGAGGCAGCTTTAGTCGTTTTCGAGCATGACGTTCGAAAACATACCGACGGGACGGACATTCACGCTCTGGACGATTCGCTAAAACCGAAAAAACAACGAGAATAACAATGACCACTGTGTCCACTGAACAAATAACGGTATTGATGAACGTTCCAAAAAACTCACATGTCAGGCAGATTTCATTGAAATGGACGCTGTTCGGTACAATCATGAGGGTCCCGATACCTTCGGGAGCGGCCTGTTCCCTAGTGAGATAGCAAGTGGACTCCTCATATTCTGGTTCAGGGCTGAACGCAGCTATTCTGGCACCAGGTTGGAAATCAATAGAGTTGCAAGTCCTAACCAGGCTGTTACCAGAACGGTCACGCAGACACAAATCCTGGCATTTCTCCAAGACACGAAAAGGTGGCGCCGTCTCGCGTACCTATGTTAATGAGTAAATGAATAATGCAAAGATAATTATGTTTAGACTTTGTTTGTCAACATTCACATACATAAACTGGTGCGTTTCGATAAGCCACAAATGTAGGTAGCCTTGTGGAATTAAAAACAGATAGCTTTAATTAATCACGTAATCGAGTATTTGACATGGTTCGCTGTTTTTGACACACTTTTTTAAATACAATATTATTTTTGGTATTCTGAACAGAATTTTCTCTGACCATATGTTTGATATGATTAGATAAGAAAGTTCTTACAAAATTTTGTGAACCTGCCTTCATTATTACAGATTACTAACATTCCTATCAATAACTAGTTACTCCCGTGCAGTTTCACCCGCTGCTCGGCTTTTATTGGTCGTAGCCATTATTACTTCTTCAGCCTTTTTCAATAAAAGTAATATCCAACATATAAAACAATTGTTCAATTCAAACCAGAGTAGCGTTGATACGAATAAATTCTTCAAGTTTATTAAAAACTAGCTACTCCCGCGCGGTTTCACCCGCGGCTCCATTCGATCGTAGCGTGATGTTTTATAGCCTACTAGCTTTTGCCTGCGCATCCATTTGCGTGGAACAGTGACTTTCTGCAGATTTTTGGTATAAAAACTATTCGATGTCCTTTTTCGAGTTCCAAAATATACTTATCTGTACCAAATTTCACAGAAATCGGTTCAGTAGTTTAGGCGTGAAGAAAAAGACAGAGAAAGGTATGTTTCGCATTTATAATATTAGTTTGGATTTGTTTGTAGCTATCTATCAGTGAAAGAACTTTGGCAATCTGACCAGCGGTTCCAAACATTACCCCCTATATACCAACTTACAAATTTTGCCTCTTTATAATATTAGTATAGAAATACTTAGATAAAGATTTACTCACAACATCATCATCGAATCCATGTAGCTGTTGATTGGGTAGTCTTTCATACATGACCCTTCCCATTCCCTGGTTGCAAGTTGTTTGAGCTGTGAACAATGAAGTTTATCTAAACACCCGTTATAACATTTCGTACCGATTTTAAATCAGTTTGTTTGGTTCATAAAGTGAGTTCGTATATTATCTAATATTAGGTTAACAATCTTTAATTAAGTCATGGCTAGATAATCTTGGTTGTTCTGTTTAATTATATCTTTATAAACGTTTAAGCTTATTTAAAAGAGAGTTTTATCTGTTGATTCAGATTTGAGAATTTCAAACAGAAAATGTTGCTATCAATTTGAATTTATATTATTATTTGGCTTGTGTGCCAACGCGAAACAAGATTAGTTTTTGAAATTGATAACTTTGTCAACATCAATTAAATAATTTTAATCCTGTAACTGAATTTAGCTACGTACGTATAATAGTCATGCAGCAATAAATAACTTTATTAGTTTATCTTTTTTCCATTTCTTGTTATTGATAACTGTCTCAAGTATTAATAACTAATTGAACGGTATATCTAAGAACGGAAGAGGAAATCATAAGTTACAGAAATGTTGTTATTGACACTTAATTTATAATATAAAATAATAATAATTACTTTTTTAGAGCTGTTGATAAACTATTTTATACAATTATATTACTTCGGTATTACTTCGGTCGAGCCAACCCGAAGTCAGGTGAAAAACACTAAATGACTTCTCCTGTCCACGGTAAGGCGAGAGAGAGTGTCAGATTCTTACTGACTAAAAACCCCCACGTTCCTTCTCCTCATTTAGGCCGAGGCCGTGGTGCCACATTGCGCTTTCACCGCAACCCCGGATATATTTAATAAATGCATTGCTTTTTTCCTCTTTGACTTAAATTTAGAATGGGTGACCAGATCCAAGATCTACTATGTTTGTTTCTTTCTCTTTATATCTAAAAGATGATGTTTAAAACTCGGATGGAGGGGTTTTACTTACCATTGGCCATGGTGAGCATGGTGAGCGCAGTGAAGGCATGCATGACCCTCGCCCCCCGGGGCTTCATCTTCTAACGCTGCTGTGTTCTCGCGTCACCGACCACTCATATGGTCACCTGTGTCAACATATAAACAATATATAGGTACTTATAGCTATTTCCAAAAGACATAGATTTACTGTTACGTAGCAAGGCATGGGTTTTTTTGTGAGGGGAAAATCATCAAATGACTTCTCCCGCCCAGGGTCGGGCGGGGGGGGGGAGAGTGTCAGACTCTTACTGACTAAAAAACCCCCTGTTCCTTCTCCTACTCTGGGCCGAGGTCGCGGTGCCTTATTGCGCTTACCCCGCAACCCCAGCTGAACATCAGCCCTTTAGGGCCCCGTCTGTGCTGGTCTATTGGCTCTTTGAGGCGCGCGCGGAACGCTACGCGCCGTACGCTCAGCAAGGCATGGGTAGAGTGAGAACCGCAAGAGGATTCTGTCATTAATTTATTTTTAAATAAAAATACTGTAAAAGCATATTTTGTTGAAATGACAATGAAATTTAAGGAACTTCCAGTTTTACGTTTATGAACGAAAATACGCATCGCTGATATCGCAGCCGCATCAACTCACATAACTTTTACTTAAAAAAGGGTAATTTTCTGTGTTAACATCTTTTGAAGAAGATTTTTTATCATATGACTTCTCCCACCCTAAATGGGGCGAGAGTGAGTGTCAGACTCTTGCAAACTTTAAACCACCCTTTTTCCTTCTACTGTCCCAGGCCGAGGCCACGGTACATTATTGGCCGAAATTAAAGGTACGAAGGTACACGAGCACATACATCATATACATATAAAGCCTGTAGCGATCAGGGACTCAGACAGGCGGTAGCAAACTGATCCCAATGCGTTCTTCGACATTGAGCTCCTTCTTATTGCTAAGCATAATAATTTCGTAGTTAAAAATAGTCAGCTTGCAGTTTATTTCTACTTATTACTCACTTCTTTATCATCTTTACAACTACCAAATGAAGATCATTCACTTGTATACGTTCTATAGACATCTTCATACAGCGACGATCGTTTAGCAAAACAATAATATAATCGACAAGTGACTATCGGGAGCAAGGTTATTACGATCAAATACATATTTGCAGCCAGAGTAATATGTTCACCGTTTAGTATCCATATAATGACGTCCTTCAGTTAGAAAATTATGGACACCGTCTACATGGGGCCGTGCGTGTAATAATTGCAGTATACAGATCTGTATTATGATGTTTTGCACGTAAATAGCGCTTGTATCTATTTATTTGTGTCACTATATGTTAAATGGCGCGAAATGTCTACCACAAACAAAAACATGGCGTCCAGTTTTTTTTGTAAGCTAATTGTAGTTGTAATTTAGATAAATGTAACTAGAGTGTTTTGTTACTCTCGTCTGTTGAAACAGATAGATTATGACTGCTATCGAAACCTAGAATGTATTTTAATAATGGTCTTATGTATATTCGTCCATCCAAGCCAACAAGGTTAAGTACTAGTAACTTGTGAAAGTTTTTTTTTTTTTGGAAACTGTCTACATTTTTATGACTCAAACATCAATAGTTACGTCATCATAGGTATCGCTTTTAAAATTATTTCATTGAACTTACAAAAGGCCATGTTTGCTATGTATAAAGAATCAGCTTCTAATTAATTTATAGGTACGCGTTTTGGCATTTGAGCAGCCGTCACATTTTTGTAGCTATCATACATTAACCCAAAAAAAATTTATTTGATAAGGCAAGTAAAGATTTTACTAAACAAAGGGAGTTGTAGATCTAAACACACTTTGAATGATGTTTATAGAAACAAAGACAAAACATTTGTACAATATCTTAACTGAACAAATATTTTTTCATCACAACAACATGTTTTCAATATTCCCTTTATTATTATTATCGAATCGTGCGTCACTTATGAATGTGATCGCGATTCCCATGTCTGTTAGCATGTGATTTGATGATTTTACGTGCATTTATTTTTAGCACTTCATATTTAGTTTGCATTTTTCCTAATCCTAACAGATTTGGCACACAATTTGGCCTAGTAACTATATTTCAAATTCTCGACACATATTTTTTGTTCCTGATCATTCTAGACCAAGATGGACGCAGTATAACTAGGGAAACAAAACTTGGTTAGTGTTTTTTATACGTCATAAGCACTGCCCATCAACAAATGAGTCCAATACAGTTCATGAACAATAAAGGCTTATTTATAACATTCGCAACTATCGGAGCACGAAGTGTTGGCTTGTAACTAGTCATATACAAAACCCATGCATCACTACTCTTTCGCTTTGTACCACGTAACAGTACCACGCTTTATCGATGGCATCCATATTGAAATGGATACTGACTGACATCGACACCGTTATTTTGCGCACACCCGTGAAATAGATGCAATTAATTGTATTCATGTAAATGTTGGGAAATATTTCAATGAAAATTGACTACATTTTGTGGCGAATTTTATATAGAACCTATTTGCTAATGTTCGCTTTTATATTCATACATCCATAAAAAGTATGTAAAATATTTTATATGTATTGTATACCTACTTCCCGGTTGCGCTACTGTACCTACAAAAGTTTTAAATGTTTGAATGTCAGAATTGCAGTTCTCTTTGCAAAAGCAATAAACCCTATTCTCGTCGTCATTACAATGGCAACAATTCTAGAAAAAAGTTTTTAATAATAACGTTACTTACTATAAGCATTCACTCTCATGTGTCTACATGTATTTATACATATATAGGTAGCTAAGTATAATTATAAACAACTTCATTGTTGCGCTTCAATAACTGGAATTGTGATTATAAATAGAAATAGGTATTATGAAATACAGACTATACAGTATGTAAACAAATTAAGTACAAAGGTAATTGTCTAGACATTAAACATTACATTTATCATTAATACTATTGTTTTGCTCATAGTAAATGAGTACACGGCAATTATAATGTTATTATTCCCTGTACAGTTTCCTTCCTCTATAGGCAATTATAAGTGCGAATTTCATATGTTATGAGGGTATGAAAAACAATGATAAGACCACTACATCCAGTTTGGAACAAAACAAAGATAAACGAGGTGTTAACTGCGTAGAATATCTTCTTTGACGTGGACTGTGAGAAGGGTCATATCAGTAATGTACTAGTTTATCCAGATAGGGTGATTGTAGGAAACAAACAAAGTTACATTAGGGCCGACATCGAATGATGAGAAAAAGACCAGATGTTTGACGAAAGAAAGGTATAGAGTTAGCAGTTTTAGATTGCTTTGACGTAAGTCACGAATGTCGTGGTGGCCCGGACGTTAAGGCGTGCGCTTCTCATGCATGAGGGTTCAAAACCTGACAAGTACCAATATGACCTTTTCCAAGTTCTTTGCTCGTTATGTTATGTCTATTTAGGCACCACTGGCATATAGTAAAGAAACACATCGTGAGGAAACCTGGACTTATAATTTCTAATTATAAGTTTGAAATCGCCAATACGCCTTGAGCAAGCGTGGTGATTAATGTTTAAACCTCCTTCGTGTGAGAAGATGCCTTTGCTCAGTAGTACTTATAGGCTGATGATGTTTGTATGTCTATAACAAATGCCGTAATAAATAGAGCGATGAGAAACTAATCTATAAACGTCACGCCGCTTTCTCCTTTCTCACCCATCTGCGCAGTACCCTGACAAATTCGCAAGTACAAATATACTACCAGGTAGTTAGTACTAGCAACATAATAAACCTCGAATCTACATGACAATGCCAGGCCGAAGGTTTGGACTATGAAAATTTTGGTGTTTCCAAAAAAATGTGCCGATGGAAAGCGGATGCCGACGTCCGGTCCTTTGTGCTCCGACCGATGTCCTCGCCGGACCAATTGCCCAAATGACGTAGCATCCAAATTTTGATACAGTTATCTTTACCGTGAAATCACTGTCTGGCTGTTTGCAGAATGGGATCGATGGATTTTGAATAGGTTTGCTCTTTTGTTCGTGTCATTAGCCATAATTTTGTACTTTTACCGATATGTGTATGTGAATCATTCATTGCTTTTCATGATATTGGTTTGCGAAATAATACGCGACCATGTCCATTTATGTATGCTGTTGCAAAAAATATTTCCTCTTATGGTTTGACGTTCAACGTATGCCTTTGAATTAACAAATATTTTAAAGAAAATATAGAAATGACACAACATTATACTAAACCAAAAATAAACTGAAGTCTAATTTGTTGAATAAAAAAGAAACTTTTCCAATTCTTACCTAAAATAAACAACTAAGAACTACATACATCCACACCCTTTATTCCTCAAAATAACGGAACATTACCCACTCCAATAACATAATAGAATAAATAGATCAACGATTAACCTATTTTAGTGAAAGTCAAACTTTTGTTCGAAAACGATTCCTCAAATTCAAAGCGTACAATAGAATGTTCAAATAGTGCACTTTTCACGGAAACCAATGACTTGGAACGAAATGGTGTGAAAAATGTTCGAGTTACCAATGAAGGGCTTGGGATGGGCTAGGCTGCGATAGGATGGGCCCGTGGGAATGTGTGATGCAAGAGCTTGCGACATGAAACCATTACTGAAGATCCTGGATTCCAAATCCCACGTTTACTAAAGGTTTGACTGTACCCGGAACTCCATAAACCCGGTACAACTGCAGAACTGTACAGTTTTTCGTGGGAAAAATTCCTTCCTTTGTTTACTTTCAAGGCTGAAAAGAATGGCATTTAAACATTTTTAACAAAAAACAATGACGCCATGTGACTGCCTGAATTACTATTTGTAGCTATTTGGAGTAAAGGTTTTTATATTACCGCGTAATTTCGCTTAGCTATACATAGGATCGTAAATTAACAAGTTTGAAGACAAGCACAAGTTTAAGTATTCAAAATAGGTAGGTTTTGTACAGAAACATTTTTAACTGTATTATCATATAATCAACTAGCTACTCTCGCGCGGTTTCACCAGCCGCTCGGCTCCATTTGATCATAGCGTGATGCTTTATAGCCTATAACACTCAGGAACATTGTAGCTATCTATCAGTGAAAGAATTTTGGCAATCCGACCAG